GCAGACACCTATGATCGAAGACAGCTAATCTTTTCATGTCTTCCACTTTCAATGGCCAGGTCTCACAGCTATAAAGGAGGAGGAGTGAGCGGATTGCTGAGCAGTACATCCGCCCTTCGGTTCATAACCAGTCGGATATCACGTCTACGCCAGAGACAGCGTAAATTGGCATATGCGAAACGAGACTTCTTTATCCGTGCTGAGATTTCGTCAGCGATCAACCCTCTGATGCAACTTCCCAAATAAGTGAAGCGGTCAACTTGCTCTACCACTTCACTTCCTATTTCTAATCTAGGAGTCGGTGCAGTCCAATCCTGTAATATCATCTTGCATTTAGCGGGAGCCAGTCGCATACCAAACATTCGTAGATTGCAGCGCAAGGTGTTCAGAAGACTCTGCATTTTGTCAGCGTCCTCGCCTAGAAGGACTATATCGTCTCCATATTCTAAGTCAACGAGATTATTCCCTGGTAGCAAGTCAAGTACATTGGAAAAAAACATTAGTGGTAGAATTCATGAGCCATTGAATTGGGTCCCAGTGGCTGAATGTCATACGAGCTTGCCTTGTAACCGGGAGGTCCTGGGTATGAACCTCCTGTGTTGGGTGCGTATTGCCGATGATCCCCAAACTAGGCTGACGAAACAACTGTTCAGTACTCCCTGTTGGTTCTTAATGGTTCTCTAACCGATGTGAATCCGTGATCAACTCGATAAAATTTAAGTGTTATCAATAAAATACAATGGGATGAGAAATAATATGTTTTTTGCAGTAAAAATAAGTTGGTGTTAAACAACTATCCTATAAAATTCATTAGGAATATCAAAAAAAGTCAGCAGCTAAATAAGAATAATGGTGAAACTTGCATTGATAACATAAATAAGAGAGAATATAAGGCATCTACAGTAGTTTTGCTATATAAGGAGGGGAAACCTGAAACCCTCCCCACGTAGAATTCTGCATAAAGCAGGAGTTACAGTGACTGTGAGTTAAGTCAACTACATCGATCTAACTAGTAGATCAGGGGTAGTCAGATTATCAGAACATAAGCATTTAGCTAAAATTAGGATGATTGATCCCATAGAGATAAGTAATTTAGAGAAAAATGCTCCGCAAAAGCACTGCATACATTAACACACAGCCACACAATAGCGTGGGAGAGGGTTAAATTTCTAAGAAATAATATATGTTGGTGGAGATAGATAGATATTGATTACTGAGTCCTGGTTCATGGAGTTCACACCCAACGCAACACATGCAATAGGAATGACTCATCACAGCCACTATTGCTGTTGCTGTTGGCCAGGATTCTTCATCACCTCTGTCTTCTCTATGTTCACCCGAAATCCTATCCTTGATACGTCTTCTGCCAGATTGTCGCTTTTCACTTGCATACCTTTGAGTTTGTGTGAAATCCTAAATACGTCATTGCCGAAGTCCAAATCCTGTGAGTTTTGTGTGGGCTCATTTTATGCCTGTCTTCTCGTTGACCAGCCCGCATTCTGTCTGTCGTATTATCTAGTCTATTGCAATCAGGAAAATCATTGGATATGGTAGGCAGCCAGCAAGACGGTATTGTTCCACTCCCGTCTTTAATTCAAAGGATTCCGTGAGTTTCCCGTTGTGGATTACTTGGCATGCAGCTTTGTCGTACAACTGTTGGATGAGATGTGCAATTGTTGGCGGCACCCCTTAGTAGTAGCGAAGTAGTTTCCAAATCACCTCTCAATCGACCCTATCAAAGGACTTTTCAAAGTAAATGAAGTTGAGTGAGGCAGAGAGCTGACTGCCATTTCAAGCTCTGTTCAGTGAAGATCCGTAGTGTTGCGATTCGATCAATGCATGACTTGTTTCTCTTGAATCCAGCCTGTTCCGGTCGAAGTTTTTCATCTAGGGCATGTTTGATTCTCTCCAGGATGATGCGGCTTACTATTTTGCTTGGGATGGACAGGAGCATAATTCCGCGCCAGTTCTTGCATTGACTTAAGTCCCCTTTTCTTTGGCAGTTTGAATAAGTAGCCCTTCTTCCAATCCACAGGTTGCTTTCCCTTTTTCCACACCTTCTCCGGTAGTGGTGTGATCAAGTCCATTTTCAATACCTCTGCTGGTAAAGTAAAGTAGTTATGTTGAAAAAATAGAGGTCTTACCATGATAACAGAAGTGGATGAAAGATGTTCATTTGTACGTATAGCTGCAGTTTCTCTTTCTGAATGGAGAGAGCTTCAGCATTGTAGAGGGCGTATTTTTTTGGCAGGTTAATTTTCACTTTGTATATCACTTTGAAGGAGGAGTTTGTTGCCATAGAGTGATCATCGTCTGCAAGGTGTTAATTTATAGCACTTTTTATCGAGCCAATTCCACCTTTCAACAACTATGCGGGATAATGTTCTTGTACCCTTTTAAACAGGATACGCATCGAACACCTAATATACCTGACCCGACAGGGGGAGGTGAACTGATATAAACACACGGAAATGGTGAGGTCTGATATCTTGTCCTTTTGGTTTCTGAAGACCAGTGGGCGGATCGTGAACCCTACTTTTAGAGTCATCGAGAGGATATTTCTTCTTTGAGAAGTCAAGGTGCCTCTCATAGGGACATCCTTGAGTTGGTCATCCTTGAAATAAAGGTTCATGTAAAGTTTCTGTTTATTTGCCATGCATGGCGTCTCTTGTCTTTGAATTTTCCATTCGATCTTCTTGTCAATAAATCTTGGTGGATATCCATTTTGGATGAAAATGTCTTTCAGAAAATCGAATTCTTTTTACGGGGCATCAGGGCTTTAGATATGTATTACACGAATAGCGAGAGGTATAAATAAATTTCGTCTAAAACCGTTGGGTATCCAGCTGTAGAATTTTGTCAGTTGGCCATTCGGTGTGGGTTTCCTATTGACGAACTTACTTAAACTTGCATCAGCTTTTTTTGTGAATTCAGTATCAAGAGGAAGCAATTTTAGATGTATTTTCTATACCAGGAGTGAAGCTTTGTTCCTGGATGACATTCGTTGAATATCTGTTAAAGTGGATTGAGGTCAGCACTGTCATCACAGACTGGTTACTAATGTTGGATTGAAATGTTCGGTTTGTGTATTGACAAGTCGAATTCTAGTACGCACACCCACCGGCCTAGTAGATAGTATTTAGACTGTCGAAATGCTCGGTGGAAGGTTTGAGCATTTCCCTACCTTTTCAACTTATCTGATGAAATAAGATGGTTGGAGGCTGACGAAGCAGCTGTCCAGTACTCCCAGGTGGTGGTTTTCCAATGGTTCTCTAACTGATATCAGCTCATGATGAAATCCTCCATGCAATTGTAATTTTGTTGGATAAACTTAATGTACACATACATGCAAAATAACACAGCTAAAAAATGAATTCACCACCTGGATGGGGATTATGCTTGGAATTAGTCAGAAATAATCAAATTCAGGGTAAGACTATGAAAAATAATCTTTATAGTTTTTGTATGATTTCTAAGGTTATATTCGGAAAAAAGGCAAACGATATGTGAGATTTCATAGCTGGTAAGAATTTGAAAAGGTTTTTTATCAAAAATTTTTCTAAAAAATGGATACTGAACAAAGAATACTCTTTTCGATAACGCCTTCATCATCAGGCTCTACAGTTATATATACATTATAATGAATGAATGAATTAGTGTTATGAACAACATTAATGTTGCTGTTTAAATAACATCGAATCAATAATATTAACAGATTACAGTTCAATAGCATCAACATAACAATATACTGAATGTCAGAAAAATTAGGAAAGATAATAATACAAATTCATGAATTTATAGTCTCTACTGAAGGCCGGCCAGGGCAGTAGTAGGGTAGCTGGACTTGCTTCTTTTGCACACAAAGCACTGGTTGTTTCACGTGAATCGAGATAGCCTCTGCTGTTTGGAGCATGAGGTTGGTACGTGGATGCATTCGGAAATTTATTTGGCACCCGGTAGATGATAGAGAAGGATTCTTCAATGCTGGCTGGCTTTGTGGCCGGTTTGCACCAGATGGTCTAATATCGAACTGTTAATGGTTTTCACTACACCTTTACTAAGCCATAATGGGAGATGTTCTCGAGCACGGAAAATCAAGTTCCTAGAGCAATGGCCAATATAACTCGCTTCACCACAAGCGCAGTTGAATTGGTAGATAAAATCGGGGATGCCTAGTCTAGGTACTTCATCTTTCAGTCGAGGAATCACCATCGGTCGTGTAGAGAATAAGACGTGTAGTTCGCCAGCATTAAAAGTTCTTTGAACTGATTTTCTCAATTTCTTCGTAATTATTTCACTTGGTATATCGCCCTTGAATTGCAGTCGTATATAAAGAGGCTTCTTGTTTACGGATAGTGAGTGGTCCTTTGTCATGTGTTTCTTGATAAATTTGTCGGGATAGCTATTTTCGATCAAAGTATTATATACAATGCTTAATTCATCTTCAATTACTTCTTCTGAGCATATAGCTCTAACTCTGTGGCTGAGGGTTTTCACTAAATTTCTTTTGTACTTGAGAGGAACGAAGCTGTGAAAATGTGTATATTGTCCTGTCCATGTACTTTTCCTATGCAAATTTCTTTTTATGTCACCATCTGGTTTTCTTGTAAGGAGGACATCCAGGAAGGCAGTCAATTCTATTTTGGGATTCGTCTTCTCACGTGAATTTCATAGCCGAATGTACTTCATTGAATTCAGTTATTATTGTACTCCTATCCGAATGATTATCACAAAGAATGAAGGTGTCATCCAAAGTGTCTGGCAATAAAATGAGAATTTTCTGATAAGGTTGTTCAAAGGTCCATTTTCTAGTTAACTTAGAATGAAATCAGCCAAAATGGGACTTCAATGAGGAGCCCATCGCCACCCCGTCCATTTGTCTGTAAAGTGTGCCGTCAAATTTAAAATTTACATTCATGGTAAACCTTGATAACAAAATTCTTTTAGGATTTCAGTGCAGCTGACAGTTTTTTGTATTTTGTTTGTTTGTTTCTGTTTAGCGGTTACATCCAAAATATGTATTTCAAATTTTATGTGAATCAAGACAGTGTATTATGTCACGCCCAAATATTCAGATAGCATCAACTTCTATTTCACGACAGATAACAGTTGTCGGTGACTTACACGGACAATACAGTGATCTTCAAATGATTTTATATAAGGTTAGTAGTAAATAATTTGTTGATAGTTTTTTTTTTGAATGAGGAAAAATGAATTCATTAAACAAAATAAATCAAGTATTGGTTTGTAGGGATTTGGTTGATTGGTTACAGGATTTCATCATGAGCTGACATTGGTTAGAGAACTATTGGAAAATCAGCTGAGAGTACTGGACAGCCAGCTGTTTCGTCAGCCTAGTTTGGGACTCTTCAGCAGTACGCACTCACCGGGGTTCGAACCCAGGACCTTCTGGTTACAAGGCTTGTGATCTCGTATACCATGGTATGCCTTGTAACCAGAAGGTCCTGGGTTCGAACCCCGGTGAGTGCGTACTGCCGAAGAGCCCCAAACTAGGACGCAACATCTGTCGAGTACTCCCAGGTTTTCCAGTGGTTCTCTAACCAATGTCAGCTCATGATGAAATCCTGTAAAATAAATCAAATTGAATATTTTTCATTCTTAGAGTTCCAGTTGAATACCGGCTAGGCAGGGCTTAGAAGTGGGTCAGCAGGAAGTCGAACTTGAAAGCCCCGTGTGATTCGCATATTATTATATCATATTCACCAGTTGGCAATTTTAAACTATATACATTTATTCCCCTTAATGAATTAGAATAAAGCAAGAACAACAACAGTGGTTTTGCAGAATAAAATAGTACCATCCTGTGTTTATTTCGTTGACTTCTCATCAGCTGCTTGCTTATCAAGTATATCTACAGAAACAATCTTAACATACTTGAACAGAGTTCATTTTGAAACAAAAAATCAATCAATTTGTGCATACAATTCGAATAATAATAATATCAATAATAATCACTTTATCTCAAACAATATTGATCATACACAATGGGACAAAGTTCAGGAATAGTATCCGAGGAGTGAGAACGCGTGACCAATGATCTTGAACGCTTGCTAGTCGTTGGCTGATTACACTTGTCACTATCATAGCTGAAATATCAACGCTATTCACCAGCTAAGGAGTAAATTTCACCCAGATCACGTTTCTAAGTACTCTTTCGACAATATGTTATTAGCTCTTTAGTGTTAGGATCAGCGTCAAAGTTAGGATTAGGGTTAGGTTTACGATTAGTATAAGCGTTGTAATTAGGATTAGGATTAAGGTTAGTGTTACGATTAGGGATAGATTTAGAGTTGATATCATTTATTTTAATTTGTTTTATTATCGACATTTTCCTGGTAAGTAGTCATCGATCCTCTTACTGGAAACTATAGTAATTCAATCGAGGGCTTTTGAGGAAGACTGCACAACAGGATAAGAGAGATGAACGATTCACAAAAACAACTCATCTTCAGTCACCTCAGTGAATACATGTACAGAAACCAGTCTAACTCAGCAAATAGTACTTCTCATTATAGCTGAGACGTATTTTTAAGTCATGTCAGAGAAAGATACCCTGTTTCATTTGTTTTTATGCATTTTCTTGTCAGTATACGTCATTTTTTGTGCAAACATTCGTCAATTTTTGATTGGTCGGCTGAAGATCACTCGTGTGTTGGCATCTCTTGGGACGCCATTGTTGAACTTTGCCCACAATGGAATCTTCTGGTGTTACGTAATCAGATGAAAGAGAGGATGACAACATCCAGTTACCAGGCAATGCAAGGAAAGATTGATCACCTCTTCTTTCTGAAGCCCCAAGTCGGGTTTCTGTCGCTTGATGGAAATTGCTTTAGCAAACTTGAGGAGAATTGAACTCTTTCGCGCCTATTGATATTTTGAACGACTTTTCGACGTCCACCTCATGCATGACCCGTGTCAAGGAGCTGCTCGGCGATGGCACTGTTTAAAGCATTTGTTCCCTTTAAACATAAGCTTTTTGGTACATGTTCATTCTGTTCTTTCAATGTAATTTCTCCCGCAGATACATGTAAACTTGTATACACACAGTTGGAGTTAACATGAGAAGGATATTTATCGATTTTTGATTGCACCAGAGAAGAGTAAGTTGTTCGATAGACGGGGATGAGCTCATGTCTGTTGAATATACACATCAATCAGCGTAGAGATTCAAAATAAACTCTTAACATATAATCATTATTCTCATTATTTTCATTATTTATTCCAGAATGGTATGCCAGATGTAACTAATCCGTATGTTTTCAATGGGGATTTTGTTGATCGAGGTAGAAAATCAACAGAAACATTACTAACCATCTTATGCTTATTATTGATTCGACCTACTGCGGTTTATTTAAATCGAGGTAATCATGAAGATCATTTTGTGAACTGTCAGTAAGTGAATAAACTATATGTATCTATCGCTTGTCTATATAGATATATTGTTTAATCTGTACACTTTATCCTTCTTAGTTTTATTAGCAAAAATGTCAAGCGACTTTAATGTAAAGGTACTAGTGAGGATCATTGAATTCCTATCCAAGTAGATGACCTTGTAACCTGAAGGTTCTAGGTTTGATCCCTTCGGTTGGGCGGTGTGGGAGGGGGGAGGAAGGGAGGAGTCAGTTAGTCATCGGTGCGCACTGTTGATCATTTCCAAAATAAAACGAATCAACTGGCATATTAATATATGTGTAAAACTTGGGCACTGTGGTAGTAAGCAATTCCATTATTAGTTTGTTTATTAGATATATCACACAGTCAGTGAAACAGTATTAGTACTTGCTGGATGACAATGTTTCGAACAAAATTTATTAATGTTCATAATCATTCCATCAATTATAATCACACGACTTTGAAACTTGAGTTTTATAGGCAGTCAGACTAGCTGAACATAAAAACTTAGCCAAATATAGATTGGCTGATCCAAATAAGATAAGAAATCTAGAGAATAGTTCAGCTATAGCACTCACTACATGCTATTACACACAACTATACAGTAGGATGATGGGATAAGATGACAGTTTTAAAATCTAATGTCACAGGGTATAAGGAGAGATTGATAACAGAAGCTTTGTTTATCGAATCAACTGAAGAGAATACGTGTAATAGGAATGATTCATCACCTGTCCCATATATCTGGAAAATTCTACTACCCCAATAGTGACAAATAGGAGAAAACAAAGAAAACTATAAAACTCAAGTTTCGAAGTCGTGTGATTACAATTGATATGATTATGAACAATGGTAGATTGTGTTCGAAACTGAGTCATCCAGTAAATAATAATACTGTTTCACTGACTGTGTGTGATACATCTAATAAACAAACTAATATGGAAAGAACTGGCATTCTAGAGTTCCCCGGTTTTCAATCATCTCTGTAACTGATGTTGTTTCATTGTGTACTGCATTGCTCCTTATTGACATAAAGTTAATTAGACATTACCATAATCAACAGGTTAGCGTGATGAATGATTAGTTAGTATCCAAGAAATTCAAGTTTCGCCTTTTCATCGACTGGAGAACAATTTGGTAGAAGGTGATTCTAAAAACACTTTTAGGTATTATGTATTTTTGTATATATATATATATATATATATATGGAGAGAGGGAGAGAGTATATAGAAAACCCACAATAACGGGTCAGTATACTCATTTATCCAGCTTCGTATCCTTGAAATAGAAACGCAATCTGATAAAGTGCTTAGTCCACAACAAAGCAAAAGCAATCTGTTCGGATGAATGTCTTGATGAAGAACTTAATAATATTAAATGGTTGCTGGGTGAAAACGGTTATCCAGAAAAGTTTATTGATAAGAATATAAAAATCTAAAACCAAAGCAGCCCAAGGTACCAACAGTTCCAGAAAAGGCGAGACACTAACACAGCGCCTTAGAAATGCGGTAAAGCGAAGAGCATTCCCTGCTGAAGAATTATGCTGTGTCTTCAAAACCACTCCTCTTTTGAGTTCGGGAGTAAAAGATAAACTGCCTAATTTCGCCTCTTCCATGTGTATCTACCAATTTAATTGCTCCTGTGGAGTGAGCCAGTTAGTTGCATAGGCCGTACAGTTAGGCGTGTTTCTCGTCGGATTTCCTAACATCACCCTGCATGGTGGTTAAGTGAAGGAAAAACAAAATCTATTCACATAGTGTTATTCTATCTCATCTTGTGGATACAGAACACAAGGTTGATGTTAACCAGGCTTCCGGGGTCATTTACCGCACACCAACAAATCTTAACTTCACCTTAAGGGTTTGTCTACTAAATATTGCTGAGACCGGCTGTTGGGATCCATATTAAGAAGCCTAATTTGTGTGTCCAAAAGAAGCTAGTTCAGACATCGTCCTTAGCTTACCGATCTAGGTTCGAATGATCCTCAACATTTTGTAGAAATTTCCTTAATTTTAGTTGATATTCTATTTGCTATTATATTTTTACTATTATAATTTAAGCATCTTTAATGAACTGTAATTCCATTGTGATCTTACTTAACAGATCGATATTATTTAAAAACACTCATGTTGGTACTGACTACTAATCTAGAATATTCTGTGTATATAAACATATGTATATATAATTGTAGTGCCAGAGGAGGAGGAAATTATCGAAGGGGATATTCTTCGCTCAATTATTTTGTATTTTTGTATTGATGCATGAAGCAATATGTATTTTTTAAGTGATATCAGCTAGTGTCAGGTAATATCTAGAGATTTCTCACTGAAAGCCAAGGACCACAATAATTCTGTTTTGTCCTACTATGGGGCTATTTGGCAGTGTATGAACCAATGACCTCACCTCACGTCGATTTCATGACCTTTATTTTACGCTGTGCGCTCATTGATCATTCAGATACAGTGTTATATATATCAAGAATAGGCGGAGGATAGAACTCATGAGCCAGCTGTTGGATCCCATCTCACTAGCTGAATGGCTGACAAGCTCATCTAGACATAGATTAACTGGAGTTAGAATTACTGAGTCACTGGATATCAGCGCAAGATTCGGCAGTAGAATGCTGGCCGACCATGCACGTTCGACACCCCACTGGCGCCCACCTTAACCTCCCTTAACCGTTTGTAAACCCGAAAAAGAGGGGAGGTTGGGTATGAGGTAGCTAGCATCCTCACTGCTGCTACTGAAAATTTAAGGCCCAAGCTTGAAGCCCTGTTTCACTCAGAACACAAAGGAATAAAATTTTTTAAAAATACCTGAATATCAGCCTAATGAAGAAATGGTCAGTGTATAGGCTTTGTAACCTAAAGGATCTGGATTCTTTCCTTAGTGGGGTGATGTGTTTGTTTGCATGTGTGTGTGTGTACACTGGACGATACATTCGTTGAATGCTCGTTGATTTAAATTATTGATTCACCAAGTGATGTCAATTCGTGAAAAAAATCCACATTGGAATTAATCCAGATTCCTACAAAACTCATAGTCTGAAGCTATTCAATAGTCTAGTGTTCCGTGGATGATATATGTTAGTGTCTGTACACTACAATGAGAAACTATAATCTACTTAAGGAGTAGAAACCTACGTATACTCACTTATTTAGTGCTTCTCATTTACTGTTCGAAGCTTTCGCAGCTTAATTTACTTTCCAAGAGTTATTTCTTTAGATTGATTGGATGAAGGATTTCATCATGAGAGAGAACCATTGGAAAACCTGCCAGGCAGTGCTGCCAGACAGTTAGCTGTTTTGTCAGCCTAGTTTAGGACTCTTCATCAGTAAGCACCCACCACCAGGGGTCGGACCCAGGACCTTCTGGTTACAAGGCAAGCGAGCTTGTAGACCAGTCCATGAATTCTAACTTCTGCCAATTCACGACATAGTGCGACCATTTCGCAATGTCTTCTTCAATGAGTTACTGCCTCACCTTCAACCTGCTGTACCCTACTGGTCACGGCTTCCCACTAGAATCCCAGGTCACTGCATGAATAGGGCCAGTGGCTCAATGGTCTACGAAACGCCTTGTAACCAGAAGGTCCTGGGTTTGAACCACCGCGATGAGTGCATACTGATGAAGACTCTCAAACTAGGATGAAACAACTGTCAAGTTCTCCCTAGCAGGTTTTCCAGTGGTTCTCTAACTGATGTCAGCTCATGATGAAATCCTCCATGCAATCAAACAAAATTCCTACAAAACCAATACTTGAAAATTATTTCTTTAGAGACTTGATTCGTTTAAGGTTCGAACACAGATTTATGTCAGTTATAGAACCATTAGAAGACCAGGAAGAACTGGATAGCTGTTTTGTTTTAGTTCAGGGTCTTTCAGAAGTCAGGGTTGGGACCCAGGACTATTCAGTTACTGAGAACTGTTCCAATAGCTCATGAATCCCAACTTCTACCGATTGGTGATTTTAACACGACTTGCACTAGTCATTGTTGTCATTGGCGAGTATTTATCCTCACACTGAACCTAATGGACCTCACTGTTCACGACTTAATCCTGTAGCCAGTCAGTTGAGTTATTCTGAACGAATTTGATTGGCCTGAAGTTCTAGTAAGAAGTCGTAATCGATTTTTTCTTTTCGATTTTATTTCAAACAAGCGAAACAATTAAGATGTTTCCTTCTTTGTAAAGGGGAGTAGAAGCAGACGAGTATTTATCATAAGTAAGCGCATTTGTTCTTGCAAGTTATAGACAATTTTGGTTGAACATTGTTTTTGTTAGTCTTTGATTATAAAGAATGGTTTAACATAAAAATCATGCGTGCATATTTCTATGTTGGTATGTGATGTGATTGTGTTCTCTGAGCCAGCTGGGTAGTTGATTTGCTAAGCTTTCATTGCCCCAACACTTGACAACATCTTCAGTGTATACTTCATTTTGAAGGCAGTGAGATTTTAGATTTCTCTAGGAGTTTATTAGTCATTTCTCCTGGTAGTCACCCTGAATGTAACTGGTTGGTTTTGTGTGTTTTCACACGCTGTAGACTACTTATTTTAGTGATGCTGATTGTTTCCTTGACTTGAACTTTGACCCTTTGTGTGTGAGATTTCCTTCTTATCGATTGGTAAATTTTGTCTATCTCGATGTGTCTATTGATTGACGATTCACTGGAATACCAGGTTGGTTTTAAAACCAACATCATCTACAAAATAAATTGTAACAACTTCGAAAAACACTACATTGGCCAAAGTGGACGTCCTCTTCGTTTTCGTATCCTTGACCACAAACTAGGCGTCAGAACAGGTGTTATCTACTCCCTCATATCACTACATACAGACAACCGCGAACATCAATTCAACTGGAACAACCAACGTTCAAATATTAGACAGACGAGACACCAAGAATGCTAGCCAGAGAATTTTTAGAAGCCCACTTGGTATTTCAGTGAATCATCAATCAATAGACACATCGAGATAGACAAAATTTACCAGTCGATAAGAAGGAAATCTCACACACAATGGGTCAAAGTTCAAGTCAAGGAAACAATCAGCATCACTAAAATAAGTAGTCTACAGCGTGTGAAAACACACAAAACCAACCAGTTACATTCAGGGTGACTACCAGGAGAAATGACTAATAAACTCCTAGAGAAATCTAAAATCTCACTGCCTTCAAAATGAAGTATACACTGAAGATGTTGTCAAGTGTTGGAGCAGTGAAAGCTTAGCAAATCAACTACCCAGCTGGCTCAGAGAACACAACCACATCAAAATCATACACCTGAGCTACAAATCTATTCTATCATATCTATATATTGGTATATAAGGTATACACTTACAGTATATTTGTTTTACTTTTTTTAAAATTTTAGATATGGTTTCGTAAAAGAAATTCAAAAGAAATACAAAGTAGGTTTGAGTCTGTTGTTCCAACGACTTTTGTGTGTATTTCCTTTTTTTATGATTGGATGGAGGATTTCATCATGAACTGACACATCAGTTAGAGAACCACTGGAAAACCTGCCAGAGAGTATTGGACAATGCTTCTCTAACTGATGTGTCAGCTCATGATGAAATCCAATGAAATCCAATCGAACAAAATCCCTACGAAACCAATACTTTCTTTTTATCTTGAATTTGTGAATTGTGTACAGTTCAAGGTGGAAATTTATCAAAGTCTCCTTTTTTAGGAACTGAGTAAGTACATCGGTGAAGAGCTTAACTGCAGATGTGTGAAAAATCTACGTCTAGTAATGAGAACACTTTGATCTGGCTGAGTAGCAAATATTAATGGTTGGCCTGAGTGACGTCCAACTCCTTATGTCATTCAAACAGTAACATGTATCACCATGTTATGATTTTTGTTTTGTTGATCAAATGTGTTTATCAGCTTATCGGCGTTTGGCATATAACATAAAATGAAGAGAATATATGCTCTAGACTTCTAGCGACTAACAACTATGCAGTTATTATTACTACTATTGTAACGACAGAAGACAAGGGTCAGGCAACAGATAGTTTATTGAGAAAATCAACAGATATTTATAGATTTTTATGTACATTATCGTTAGCAGAGAAGCAACGTCTTCTGATTGGTTGTTTTCTTGCTGAAGGTTATTCTGTCATTTCTCTGTTGCCGTTTCTTAGACAGTCCGGTGATATATATCTGCGAATCGTATCCGCCCACGCTGAGTCTGCTGTGTTTGGTTGTTGAGTTCCTCAAGGTTGTGCTTTGTTCTTGTTCTTTTTCTCATGACCCCGATTTAGAATGTAAACATTGACGTCAATTGTTGTCTACAATTTTGTCTTGCAGACAGCTATCACCACAATAGGACTTCATCATGAGGCGATATCAGAAAGAGAACCATTGGAAAATCTGACAGTACTGGACAGCTACTTCGTCGTAGTTCTGAACTCATCTGCAGTTTCTGGAAAGTCCTGCCGGTGAGTCCAAAACACGCTGCCCGTGAGTCCGACATTGAGGTCAAACAGCTGTCCAGTACTGCGAGGTTTTCAAGTTGCTCTCTAACCGATGTCGGCTCATAATGAAATCCAATAACCAGTCAACTCCCTGCAAGTGAACACCTGAAAAATACGTTAATTCAAGCATTTTGCGGCTGGTTGATCACTAGACTAGTGATTCACAAACTTTGGTTTCAATCATGCGCAACACAGATTTTCTTATTTAGGACAAAAAGTTGTGCGTCGGTGGCATAGTGGTTAGGACGCTCGCCTACCATGCATATGTTCCACGGTTCGATCCCCGGCCGACGCACTCCTTTACCTCGCTAAGCCAGAAATAATGCTGGTGACGAGGAAAGGTTGGGCATGAGGCTAGCAACCCCATCCTGTAAAATAAGCACTGCTACAGAAACTTCAAGCCTCTAGCTTGAAGCCCTATGTTCTACTGAGGAACGTGAAGGAAAAAAAAGTTGTAAAATCTGATGTGACTGAAATCTAGCAGCGAACCAACCAACCTATCGAAAACATATTTATCAATATGTATGCAGAAAGAAAGGGAGATGTAGTGGATATACTCTGAAAAGACCTTCAAGTGACATCACCCACACCAAGAAAACTGTTAAGTGGAACAAGAATGGAAATCGACAGAGCAAGCATTCGAAAATAACATTGAAATGATGGTGTTCACCAGGAATGAAAGAATGTGAGCAGTTACAGATAGACAGACAGATGGGGCTGAGAGTGACTCTAGAAAAGCGAGTGAACTGATGAAGAAGTGATCGATAAATACTTAAATACTCAAATTAAAGCTGATGAGTCCAGGATTCGAATCCTAGCCCAGCTACCTGGGTTATTATTATAATTATTGTTCCCTTGGGATCCTAGTGGAACATAGGGCTTCAACTACACGTTTCCACTTGCTTCTGTCTTCTGATGTACTTTTCACCTGCATCCATGTTAATCCATACTGTTTCAACTCTTCTTCACATGATCTCCTCCATGTAACCCTTGCACTGACGTCCCACTCGCCGCTTCCCTTTCGCGTTCCACTCCAGCGTTGGCCTGACGCGCGATGTCACCCAGCGACCTCCTCAGCCAGTGAGTGTCCAATCCATCTCCACTTTCTCCTGCATATTTGTTGGGCGATTGGTGTTCTTGTTTTGTTTGTTCCCATAGTTTCTTGTTGGTTCTTGTTCTTTCCGGCGGCCATCTGATCTTGAGTATAGAACGAAGACAGTTGTTGATGAAGGTCTGCAACAGGCTGTTGGAAATATTCTTTGTGACCCGACAAGTTTCTGATCCATCCGTGTAGAAGAACTGACTGACTTGACGTTTGTATTGAAAATCTGAATTTTGTTGTTGATACAGGCTGAGTGACGAAGATTTCCAGATTGGTTTCAGGTTGATGAATGTGTTTCTCGCCTTCCCGATTCTCGATTTCATATCTTCGTCCATTCCTCCTGTAGTTGAGACAATGCTCCATAGATAAGTGAATGAAGTAACTTCTTTCAAATCCCTCCCGTTGGTGGTGATTGGCGCTGGATGTTGCTGTTGTTGTTGTTGTTGTTGGTTGGTTGGTTATTTTCATAACCTCCGTCTTGTCTATGTTCACCTGGAGTCCTGTCTTTGCTGCTTCTTCGACCAGTTTGTCGGTTTTCGCTTGTAAGTCTTCGATTTTTTGTGACATCAAACATAAATCATCCACGCGCGAAATCCACGTCTTCTAGGTTCTTCACGTCGGTCAGGACAGGATATCCCTGTCTCCTCGTTTCCCACTGTCTGACGCATAATCCAGTCCACCACAATTAGGAATATCATTGGTGATAATAAGCACCCTTGTCTGACTCCTGTGTTTACTCCAAACGCCTCGCTTAGTTTTCCGTTGTGGATCACTTGACATGTGGCGTTGTCGTACAGCTGTTGAATAAGGTTGATGGATATTTGGAGTACGCCATAGTACTCGAGTAGTTTCCAAATTACTTCGTGGTCAACGCTGTCGAAGGTCTTCTCAAAGACTATAAATTTGAGCAGGTAGAGGTTTGATTGCCATTCCATGCTTTGTTCGATGATGAAGCGTAGAGTTGCAATTTGGTCAGAACATGATTTGCCTTTCCTGAATCCAGCTTGTTCTGGTTGGAGTTCTGTATCCAGTGCGTCCTTTATTCTCTCCAGAATGATGCGACTCAGAATTTTATTTGGCGTTGACAGGAGCATGATTCCTCGCCAGTTCTTGCAGAGTCCTAAGTCGTCTTTCTTTAGCTACCTGGGTTACTGAGTAGTATTACAAGCCCTGACACTATGAAGGTGGCTCATAACCTGGTACATGATAAAAGGCTGTCGCATATAGCTGAGTTCTGACAACTTTTGATTGTCATGGAGATGTGATGCTGATGCCCTATGCCTAACTCGGAAAGCGACGAATAAATACCAATAATAATATGATGATTAGGTTGCTTGGAAGCCAGATATTGTGAAAAGGAACATATGATGAAATATGAATGGATTCTATGTGTGAAATAGAGAGCGCATTTAAAAAACGTTGTCGGAAAGAAGAGGAAACAGAAAGAGTAATAAGAATACAAAGGAAATAATATTTCAGACATCTGTTTAACACTATGGCTATGAGAAGACCAGGATTTAGCGGATGATTTATGTTTGATATCACACAAAATCGAAGTCTTACAAGCGAAAACCGACAAACTGGTCGAAGAAGCAGCAAAGACAGGACTCCAGGTGAACATAGACAAGACGGAGGTTATGAAAATAACCAACCAACCAACAACAACAGCAACAGCAGCAACATCCAGCGCCAATCACCATCAACAGGAGGGATTTGAAAGAGGTGACTTCATTCACTTATCTAGAGAGCATTGTCTCAACTACAGGAGGAACTGACGATGATATGAAATCGAGAATCGGGAAGGCGAGAAACACATTCATCAACCTGAAACCAATCTGGAAATCTTCGTCACTCAGCCTGTATCAACAACAAAATTCAGATTTTCAATACAAACGTCAAGTCAGTCAGTTCTTCTACACGGATGGATCAGAAACTTGTCGGGTCACAAAGAATATTTCCAACAGCCTGTTGCAGACCTTCATCAACAACTGTCTTCGTTCTATACTCAAGATCAGATGGCCGCCGGAAAGAACAAGAACCAACAAGAAACTATGGGAACAAACAAAACAAGAACACCAATCGCCCAACAAATATGCAGGAGAAAGTGGAGATGGATTGGACACTCACTGGCTGAGGAGGTCGCTGGGTGACATCGCGCGTCAGGCCAACGCTGGAGTGGAACGCGAAAGGGAAGCGGCGAGTGGGACGTCAGTGCAAGGGTTACATGGAGGAGATCATGTGAAGAAGAGTTGAAACAGTATGGATTAACATGGATGCAGGTGAAAAGTACATCAGAAGACAGAAGCAAGTGGAAACGTGTAGTTGAAGCCCTATGTTCCACTAGGATCCCAAGGGAACAATAATAATAATAATATAAGAATTTAATTCAATTTTAGATTTTCCCGTCGATTGATTGTCTCAGTTTGACATGTCAGCTTCGTGTGCAGATGCCTGGACGTTTTCTGGGCATGTAATTATAAGTTAACTGGTGGGTGGTGACTAGCAATAGAATCTAGGATAAAGCGCATTTCATCCCGTCGGGGACTCATCACCTGGATGTGCCTGCATTCCGCAGCGAGTAGTGACTCGTTGCACAAGTGGAGGCTCTCGTGGCCTAATTGGTCTAGTGAATAACACTTTGGAGTTTGAAACTATGGCCACTTGGTTCGAGTCTTGGTAGGGACATCATCACTCACTGGGAAATGCAGGCACATCCAGTGACTGACGAGTCCCAAATAGGACGAAATGCGCTTTATCCTTGATTCCATCCACGGCTAGTCACCATCCACCAATTAGCTATAATAATTGTTTAGAAAAGTTGCTTAGCAAGCAGAATCCAGCAGTTTTGCATACTGATGACTGGAGACTCGATTTTGTAAAAGATGGAAATATATATTTTCATCATGGAAGACTTCATTCATTCTGCATGAATTGAACTTTATGACTTAGTAACTAAAAGTTGACGTGTTCAGTTATCATAACACTTGTTAGATTGTTGCTCACCATGTAGAATAATCTGTTCGTCAGATAATTTCAATGAAACTGACATACACTCACCTGTACACTTTTACTCAACAGGAGCAGATGAATACAGACTTGTTCATTATTATTGCATCGATTCATTAGTTATTTATCAAAAATCGAGAAGTTTGTCGGTAAGATGACATATCATAAATACTTGTTGGACATGATTTAAATGAAGTCTTACGTGCAGAGGTTCTTGCCAATTACCTCTAACCAACTAACGTCAGTTTTAAGTACACCATTATACCGACTCTCCTAGGTGGTTACCATGCCACCGAATTGATTGGTATAATTTTACTCAGAACCAACACACCTCAGGACGTTCCGTCGCTTACTCTTCAGTGATAAGTCAATGTGACCTTCACATTCCTAGAGAGCGAGAGAGAGAGAATCGTGAACACAAATAACTTAATGGTTAGGTATCCAACTGCAACACTAGGTGATGCTGGTTTAAATCTTCAAGAAAGCATCAATTCCTTCGACGACTGTCAACAAGCACAAAACTTGGATGCATAGGTTTCTACCGAGTTCTTTCAACCACTAGACACCAATTCAAAGAGCCCCTCAATAGCGAGTCATCACCTCACCTTGGTGTTGATATTTCCAACTTGACGGATACAATTTTCAAAAAAAAATGGATACTGAACAAGGAATACTCTTTTCGATAACCTGCTCTTAATCATCAGGTTCTACAGTTATATAAACATTATAGTGAATGAATGAATGAATTAGTGTTATGAACAACATTAATGTCGTTGTTTAAATAACATCGAATCAATAATAATATCAATGGATTACAGTCCAATAGCATCAACATAACAATACACTGAATATCAGAAAACTTAGGAAAGATAATAATACAACGAATTCATGAATTTATAGTCTCTACTGAAGGCCGGCCAAGGCAGTGGTAGTGGCTGGCTGAACTTGTTTCTTTTGCAAACAGAGCATTGTTTGTTTGAGGCGAATTGCAAGTGCCTCTGCTGTTTGAAGCATGCGGTATTTAGATGTTTTGGCAATTTATTTAGTACCCGGGTGGCTTGGTGTCACCAACAATTCCAAGCACTAGATAAATGACGGCGGTTACTCTCTAGTGACCGATCAATATACAAATCAGTGTGTCATTGACCGATTCTTTACGTAAATGAAGACCAATGACTCCCTGTTTCAGCCGTTTGTATTACAGACACACTGTTCTGTTCGTTACCATTAAAATTTCTATGTATTTACAATCATTCGCCTTCATTAATGGATGAAATCGCTAGAGAGAGAGAGTTTATTCATCGAACTATCTGCTCTTCTTCAGCCTGTCAATCAATGTTATTATTTTTCATAAAGATCCTTTGATTAACTCTAGACACACACACCAGAGTGCTTCATCTATTCTGCTTATTTTAAAATTATCAAAAGTCATGAATACAAGAATTTTAGACATTTTGACAATGAAGCTGTAGTGAAGAGTGAAATTCTCTCTTTTGAATCATCATTTTGTGATCTTATTAGAAATCAATCAAATCATTGCAAATCAATACCTGAAAATCAATGATTACAGAGTGAAATTACCTGGTATTCTGGTAAGAATTTGTAATCAGTACATTCTGCAACATCGAATGTAGGAAGAAATGGGTACCGATGACATTAACTAAAATGGTGGCGTCATATATGGCAAACTCTTAGTATTTTCTATTGTTTGGTTTGTAAGGGTTTATTATGTTTTTACGAGTTGATCACGGATTGATATCAGTTAGAGAACCTTTGAAAACCAGCACTGGAGTACTGGACAGCTGCTGTTTCATCCTAGTTTGGGAATCACCGGTAGTACGTACCCACTGGGATTCGAAACCAGCACCTTCCGGTTACAAGGCAAGCTAGCTTGTATACCATTCAACCACTGAGACCCGATTCTATGACCACTGCATAAATTCTAACTTCTACCAATTCATGATTTAGCGTAACCCCAACCATTGTCGTTGGTGGGAGATCCATCCACACACGCGATATCTAATTGGACCTCACTGGTCACGACTTCTCATTAGAACTTACTCCAGGAAACTCCATCCTGTAGCAAGTCACTAGCGAGCATCAGATTAACTTTCTAAACCTTACAAGCCAAACTATCGAAAGTTAATCTGATGCTCGCTAGTGACTTGCTACAGGATGGAGTTTCCTGGAGTAAGTTCTAATGAGAAGTCGTGACCAGTGAGGTCCAATTAGATATCGCGTGTGTGGATGGATCTCCCACCAACGACAATGGTTGGGGTTACGCTAAATCATGAATTGGTAGAAGTTAGAATTTATGCAGTGGTCATAGAATCGGGTCTCAGTGGTTGAATGGTATACAAGCTAGCTTGCCTTGTAACCGGAAGGTGCTGGTTTCGAATCCCAGTGGGTACGTACTACCGGTGATTCCCAAACTAGGATGAAACAGCAGCTGTCCAGTACTCCAGTGCTGGTTTTCAAAGGTTCTCTAACTGATATCAATCCGTGATCAACTCGTAAGAACTTTTAGTAGCTATATTTTATTGGCCCCCTTTAGACTCTGTTCCAGTTTCTAAATAGTTGGCAGACGTATTACATAACATGAAGGTGTTGCGTTAAATGTCTTGTGGTGGCACCATTTGTGTGTGTACTGATGAAGAGTCTCAAATTAGGACAAAACATCTGTCACAGGCTACTTACTCGTTAGTGATTCTGTAGCCAATGTCAGTCTACTGATTTATCATAATTTCAAAATAAATAATTTTCATTTAAGTGTGTTAAGTGATACTTCGATTGGATTTGTTTGTTCTTCATTGTTATGCTTTTATTCTTTTGTATTTAAAAAACAAAACAAACAAACATGAATTGTACTCAGTCAATCGGTGGTATGCTAGTGAGATGTTTCTCTGAATTTTATCGTTATCTACCGGTGGCTACGCTAATTGACGATAAAATTTTTGTATGTCATGGTGGTATTTCAGATCAAACTGATCTAAATACACTTGGAGGCTTAAATCGATTTTCTGTAAGTTCTGATGCATTTTTTTTACTGTTCTCACATTGTCCGCTTTCATCTCATCAGTTATCATTACCGTTTGTTCTGAAATTAAATCAAATTAAACATTCAAAATGTAAAATTTGCTTTTTTCTATGCAACGGACAATTAAAAATAACAAACAAACATTTCTCCAAGGTTAGCACTGTTTTATTATCCGACGAATAATTTGTGAGATAAATTTCACTGGGGGTAAATTAATGCTTTCTTATAATGATATAAGTATAAAACTTGGGCTCTCTGGTAGAGTATTATTCCATTATGGATAAGAATTTTTATTTTGATAAATCACACAGTGTTACACAGTAATATTATCTGATGACCACATTTCGAACACAAATTATTGCTCATAATCATAATCATAATCAAGTTACTCACACAACTTCTTTCCTTCATTTATATACATGTGTAGAGTCGATTAGATATTTATAATAAAAGTCAGTATGGGGTAATGTACATTCAGAAATAATAATATGAGTGTTATTGATCAAATACAATCAGATGGGAAATACGACGAGTGTTTTTATAGTCATAATATGTTACTTGTTAGAATGGTATGATATACGTGAATTGAATTGAAATAGAATTTTAAGATTATTTATTATCCTCCTCTGATTTGACTGACTGACTGGTGGTAATAATATCTTCCATATTTCTGGTATTTGCATTGAGTCATTTCTGTTGCATGTGTTGTGTTTGGTGTAGACTGGATAAACCAGGCAGGATTCAGTAATCAATCTCTCTCTCCACCTACATAAATTACTTCTTAGAATTTTAACCCTCTACCACCCTAATGTGTGGTTTTGTGTTAATGCATGTTGTGCAATTGCTGAGTTGTTTTTTTCTAAATTACTTATCTTCTAGGGGTCAACTATTCTTACTTTGGCTAAATTTTTATGTTTAGACAATCTGATTACCCCCGATCTACTAGTTTGACCTTTATAGTTGACCTCAAACTAGTTGCAGCCACCCAATCGATATAAGTAAAAAACTTGAGCACTGTGGTAGAGTGTAACTCCATTATGGATAAGATTTTATTTTGATAAATCCCACAGTGTTACACACTCATATTATTATCTCTGAATGTACATGATCATATATTGATTTTTATTCAAATGTCTAATCATCAATTCCACTCATGTATATAAATGAAGGAAGAGAGTTGTGTGAGTAATATCTTGATATGATTATGAGTGGCAGTAGTTTGTGCTTGAACGGTGGTCATCAGTTAATATTACTGTATAACACACTGTGTGGTTTATCAAAATAAAATCTTATCCATAATGGAGTTACTTTCTTATAATGGTTTTAAGGCGAAGTGAGACTTTTGACATACCAGTGACCATGGAGAACAGTCGGTCAGAGCAAGGCAGTGAAACTAGATAAATAACACTGTATTCACGAAAGAAGGCGTTTAGTGAAGGGTAGTGATGCTAAACGGGATATCTCATTAGTTTAAGAATAGATCAGGGGAAGGTAAAGGTTGGGATCAGGCTAGTAACAGGTTAAGTTCAGGTTGATCTAATTACGTTGGGGTTCGGTCGGTCGGTTTTCGACATAGAACTTTGCACATATGTGAGGCAGTTCAAGTCGCCACACTCCCTCCTTGTGTCACACAAAGCAAGAGAAGAAAGTAGGGGAAATGCATAAAATAGACAGTAAACAGAGATGAGAGACAAAGGAATAGTAATAACGAAGAAAAAAAGTTTCATTGGAAATCATAAGTCATAAGGAGTGGATGCATCTGCGCTGTCATTCAGAACGATTTTGCGCCACATCACCAATTGTCTTCCTACATGGCTTAAACTATCTGTCGTGGATTTCATTGACTGATGGAACCATGTTTCGGTTTGACCACCACTGGCTCTTTGCCAACCTGATTCATCCTATGTCAGCTAACCATTGCCCGTCGAGGAAGGCGATGGCTAGACATATGTAACACATGTCCTAACCATCTCAGTCGATGTAGCTTCACAGTTATGTCGATTGATTTCCCCTCCTTACCTAGCACTCGACCGATGCCTAACCTCAATATTGCTCACCTTATTATACCACTTCACACGGGAGATAGAACGCAGGCACCTATGATCGAAGACAGCTAATCTTTTCATGTATTCCACTCTTAGTGGCCAGGTCTCACAGCCATAAAGGAGGACGGAGCGGACTGTTGAACAGTACATCCGTCCTTTGGTCGATAGTCGGATATCACGTTTACTCCAGAGATGGCGTAAACTGGCATATGCGAAACAAGCCTTCTGTATCCGTGCTGAGATTAAGTCGGAGGTCAACCCTCTGGTGTTGGCTGATGCAAATACCCAAATAAGTGAAGCGGTCAACTTGCTCTACCACTTCACTTCCTATTTCTAATCTAGGGGTCGGTGTAGTCCAATTCTGCAGCATCATCTTACATTTTACAGGGGTGAATCGCATGTCAAACATACGAAGATTGTTGCTCAATGTGTTCAGAAGACTTTGCATTTTGTCAGCGTCGTCGCCTAGAAGGACTATATTGTCTGCAATTTCTAAGTCGACGAGATTATTCCCTGGTAGCAAGTCAATCCCTGAGTCGTTGGAGTGTGTTAGGGTTAAGTCCATTAGTACATCTATGATGAAGTTGAATAGAAATGGGTATAATGGCATCCTTTACGGATGCCACTAGTTGTCACCACTTCAGATGACAACTCGCCGTAAGCCCTCACCTAGCTGCATGAGTACGAGTAGAGTGCTTTAATCAGTGCAATGTATTTTCTCGTTATTCCCTTTACAGCCAAGCATCGCCAGAGAACCTCTCGATCGACAGAATCGAATGCCGCCTTTAGGTCAAGAAATATAATGATTGTTTGACGCCGGTAGGAATGCCTATGTTCTAGAATCTATCGAAGAGTGAAGATATGATCAATACACCCTCTACGGCGCCTAAAACCTGCCTGGTTTTCTCGTGTTTGTGCCTCCTGAGCACCACTTAGTCTACGCAGTATCATTGGGCCTAGGATTTTAGATACTATGTTAGTTACGTTGGGGTTAGGTAAGGCATAAATAAGGGATAGAGTTAGTGTTGAGTTAGGGGAGGAAATTTACGTTTTGGTGTAACTTCATTAATCCAAGGTCGTTGGTGAGTTCTCACTCCTTAACGGTCTAAAGATGTACTTTGATATTTATTAGACTAACAGGGTGAATAAGCCATGCTATAGACTGTAGAATGAAATAAAAACAAGATGGTGGGTTGCATACTAGCATTTATAGGAAACAGATACGCTCTAATAAATATACTTAGACTTTAATTCATCCCAACCAGAATCGGTAAAGATAAGGTTTAGCTAGATGTCTATGTAAACGGGCCAGGAGCCTAACTAGTATAGGCCTGAAGATCTAAATAATGAAATTAAACAAATAAAGGAAATATTACTAGTGAATAACACACTACCCATCAGAATGTATTCAAAAATATTTTTGAAAAACCATCGGATAACTAAGATTAGTAATAAAAATTGACGAAAATAACGAAAATAATATCGAATTTTAAAGCTTCTGTAGTACTGCTGTATAAAGAAGGGACTTCAGAGGCCTTACGTAGGATTCTCAATGAGGCTGGAATTAGTCAGGGTGGCATTTAAACCAACCAACCAACTAACTCTCTGAGAGACAAAAACTTTTTCGGCTTAAGGACTTGCCCGATAGATCCAATTTTGAAAAACAATATAACTCACCAAATACCTTGTAATGACTTCTACTGTGACGTCAGTTACATAGGTCAAACTAGTAGATCGCGGTCAACTAGATTGTTGGAACATAAAAATTTAGCTAGACCTAGAATGGTGATCGACCCTGCTAAGTTAAATCACCTAGAAAAACAAAAGCAGAGTTCATCCATTGCACTGCATTCACTTGTATCTAATCACACAACGACTGGGTGGGGGCAAGGTGAGAGTATTAAAGTTTTATAGTTAGGTGAAGACAGAGCGAGATTAATCACTGAAGCTTTGTTTATCGATTCAACACCGCACACGTGCAGTTAATCGGAATGACGCCAGATCGCCTATACCCGGAGATATGGAAAGTGGCAAAAAACAACAAGGGTAAGTCGGAGACATAGGAAGAGAGAAAATATATATCTATAGGACAAACTGTGAAACCGTGTGACTATAATTGATGTGATTATGAGCAGCAATAATTTATGCTCAAGACTCCATCGTTGTGTAATAACTAAAATAAACTTATCTAATATGGAATTACATTCTACCACAGTGCGCGAATTCTACACTTACACCAAGTGATCTTTGCCAGGCTTAGTTCTTATTCGCAATCAGCATTTGTCCTCTTTGTTTCTCTTTCAATCTTCCTTCAAATAATGTTCGTTAACTTCTATTCATTTCACCAACATTTTTCAACTTCACGATCTTAAAGACTTCAGCCAGACAGCTTATACCTCCCTATGTGGCTCAGGCTAGCCGTGGAAAACCGATCACGCTCAACGTCACCAAGAGAGATGACTAATAAACTCGTGAAGAAATCTAAAAGCTCACTTCAATTTAAATTGTGAAGTATGTGCTGAAGATGTTGTCTAGTGTTGGAGCGATGAAAGCTTCGTGAACAGACCATCCAGCTAGCTCAGAGAAGACAACTACATCAAAGTCCTCATGAACTGCACATGATCAGATTTATTTACGATATTGCACATACTCGTTTCATTTCCAAAAGAATGCGTACATGAATTGTTTTAGTATTGAGCATTAGTGACCTCTAATTAGGTTCAGCGGGTCAGGTGGTCAGGAGAACAAACAACATTGACTAGTGGTGATGTGAATTAGCAGAGGTTAGAATTTGTTGACAGGCCACTGGATTGTACCTCAGGTGGTAAATATGCCGCGGTCTTGTTATACAGCCTTAAAGGTCTTGTGTTCTATACCTGGCGGTTGGGTCATACGAGTGTACTAGTGAAGAGTCATTCACAGACTAGGACGAAACAGCTGTCCAAACATTCCTTGGTGTTTTCAAATGAAAGTCACGCTTCCTACCTATTGGGGATTATTCAACGACGCACATACAAATATTGGATTTACTAAGGAACATAAAAATGATGGAAAGTTCCATTTCCTCAGTTTTACCATGCAACGCCTATAAGATGTTAGTCTGTAGAGGTCAATTTACCGAAAGCCTACATGGAATAGAAAATACCTACATTTTAATAGTTTTTGTCCAAATAGCTTTAAACGAGCACTAGTCGAGACTGTATTATAGAGCGAGGAGAATATGCTGTGCAGAGGAACTAGAGCAGGAATTTACGATTCTCGAAAAGGTGTTGAAAAACAACAGTCACCCTCAGAGATTCATCAACAGATATGGAAGATGTGAAGACTCAAAAATCAAACAAATCACACATTGAAAAAAAGCCTGTCTTCATTTAAAACTTGATTTTAAAGGTGAAAACATTGCTGCAATAGTCAACAGAAGATTGAGTACGTCACTAGCCAGAGGCTATGCTGCAGTTGGCTAAGTTGGTTCCCGTCTATCGGAGAGCATGCTCTTTGGTGCAGTCAAAAGTCGATAGATACTCTTCTCAGGTTAACTCTAACTGTATACATAAATTTACGCGTAACCGCGGGACCACTAACGTTGCAAATACCTGACTGAGAGAATTCAGTCTGCACCAAAGAAAGGACTATACACATCACACTAGTTACTAGTGTCCAATCACAGTATCCACTACAGTTCTACAGGAGGTCAATCGCGAGCCTGAATAGCTCAGTGGTAACGTCTATGACTGCAGGCAGCACTGGGTGACGCGGGTTCGAATCTCAGAAGGGACATACATGAGTTTCTTCAAGGATGCAGATAGGCCTTGCAGACTGGTGAGTGACAACTAGCACGAAACCTAGGTCAAGCGGGGCTTCCTGTGGCCGATCGCCTCCAACTACCAAATAGCCAATTTATGTGTTCAGAAAAAAGAAACAGTTATCAGTCTTTCCTTGCCCTTCTGGATGTCTTTATTCTCTCTTCCATTTGATTATGTAATCCTTGGCTCTAACCCCACCCCCATTTGATATAGTATAATTTTGCCTGTCTCTTGTTTCCACGATTTGAGTTGAACTCAGTACATTGTTACCTAATTAATTAGTTACTCATCATCTTACATACCTCTCGTCTTTTTATAACGTAACTCCCTTACGATTCTATGGATAAATTTAATGAGTTTAAACTTGAACTCTCTGTGCAAAGAGAGTTTCCTGAGCACTGTTCACTAAGTCCAGAACCGCCTGTCAACTGACATAATGAAAAAAGTTTGCAAGCATGTTAAAACTCCTGTGTATATAAACTTAATAATAGTTTATTTAGGCTGTAAGCAAGCAGCTGAGCTGATGAGAATCCAACGAAATAAGCGATGCTGGTACCATCATCTTATTCTGGACAAACCACGCCGTTGTTCTTGCTTTATTCAAATTCATCAACGGGAATAAACAGATGAAGATTTCCCAAATGATTTTAGTTCATGCTGAAATCTGATTCAAGACCTGTCTGTCTCTCTCTCATTGATCCCAGTATACCGAAAGTTTATGAATTCTGTGTTTTCGATCTGATTTGTTCAATGTTTTCAAAAGTTTTGATAATTATTTTTTTTTTCAATAATTCTATTTCTTTTCCTATTTTTTTCTCTCTCTTTAAATCTTTACTAATTTAGTTTTATACACTTCTTAAACCTTCGGATAAAGAACTTTTGAACAGTGATGGCAGGAAACAGGTGAGATATAAATAAGCACGTTGTCAATGTCCTTGTTTTACTAATACTACTACTACTACTTACTACAGACCAATTGAGTAATATATATATATTTGTACTCAATGATTTCTTTTATATATTAGCATACTTTTAACAAATACCAAAAAGCACTAAACGTGGGATAGATAGCTAAGGCTTCCTGGCTTCCTGATTGCCTCCGGCCATCGATTAACATCAATTTACACTGCACTATAATGGCAGGTCACCCACCATCTAGCATGGAGGCCATAGTGCAAGCTTGATTGATAGAATTCAATATAGCAAAAATATTCATTCAGACATCTATAAAAACACAAAATAATCGAGCAAAGAATATCCCCTTCCATAATTTCCTCCTCCTCCTCTGGCTCTACATTTAGATATCTGTATGTTTATATACATAGAATATTTAAAATTAGTAGTCAATATCAATATTGGTGTGTTTTTTAAATAATGTCGATTCATTAAGTAAGATCACAGTGGAATTACCACAGTTCATTAAAGATGCATAAATTATAATAATAATTAAAAAAATATAATAGCAAATAGAATATCAACTAAAATAAAGGAAATTTCTACAAAAAGTTGAGGATCATTCAAACCTAGATGGCCAAGCAGTAAGGATAATGTCTGAACTAGCTTCTTCTTTTGGACACATAAATTAGGCTTCTTAATATGGATCCCAACAGCCAGTCTCAGCAATAATTGGTAGTCGAACTCTTAAGGCGAAGTTAAGATTAGTTGGTATACGGAAAATACCCCTAAAAGCCTGATCAACATCAATCTTGTGTTCTATGTATCCACAAGATGAGATAGAATAGCGCTATGTGAATAGATTTTGTTTGTCCTTTGCTTAACCAGGCAGGGAACTGTATAGAAAAATCGACGGTGTGACAATGGGATCACCACTAGGACCCATTCTATCCGATATTTTCCTTGCGAAACTAGAAAAAGGGCCTTTGAAGGATGTTATTAATGAACTCGAATTTTATTGTGGGTACATGGATGATACATTTTTGATCATGAAGAACGAGAAGGAAGCAAAAAATATCCTGGACAAATTTTATGAGGTACATCCTGCAATAAATTTTACTATTGAGAAAGAAAAAGACTCTACTATTTCATTTTTAGACGTCCTTATAACCAGAAAAGAGGACGGCACAATAAGAAGAAGTGTACATAGAAAACCTACATCAACGGGATAGTACACACATTTTCTCAGCTTTGTGCCCTTGAAATACAAACGCAATCCAATAAAGTGCTTGGTCCACAGAGCAAGAGAGATTTGCTCGGATGAATGTCTTGACGAGGAACTTAACAATATCAAACGGTTGTTAAGTGAGAATGGTTATCCAGAAAAGTTTATTGATAAGAATATGAATCTGAAACCAAAGCAGCCCGAGTTACCAACAGTTCCAAAAAAGACCTTATTCTTACAGATGCAGTTCCTAGGAGACAACACCAGTGAGATACTAACACAGCGCCTTAGAAATGTGGTGAAAAGAGCATTCCCTACTGATGAATTATGCTGTATCTTCAAAACCACTCCTCTTTTGCGTTAGGATAAAGATAAACTGCCTAATTTCGCCCCTTCCATATGTATCTACCAATTTAACTGCCCCTGTGGAGTGAGCCAGTTAGTTGCATAGGCCGTACAATTAGGCGTGTTTCTCGTCGAATTTCCAAACATCATCTCCTGCACAGTGGCTAAGTAAAGAACAACCGAAATCTATTCACATAGCGCTATTCTATCTCATCTTGTGGATACATAGAACACAAGATTGATGTTGATCAGGCTTTTAGGGGTATTTTCCGTATACCAACTAATCTTAACTTCGCCTTAAGAGTTCGACTACCAATTATTGCTGAGACTGGCTGTTGGGATCCATATTAAGAAGCCTAATTTATGTGTCCAAAAGAAGAAGCTAGTTCAGACATTATCCTTACCGCTTGGCCATCTAGGTTTGAATGATCCTCAACTTTTTGTAGAAATTTCCTTTATTTTAGTTGATATTCTATTTGCTATTATATTTTTTTAATTATTATTATAATTTATGCATCTTTAATGAACTGTGGTAATTCCACTGTGATCTTACTTAATGAATCGACATTATTTAAAAAACACACCAATATTGATATTGACTACTAATTTTAAATATTCTATGTATATAAACATACAGATATCTAAATGTAGAGCCAAGAGGAGGAGGAAATTATGGAAGGGGATATTCTTTGCTCGATTATTTTGTGTTTAATAGAATTCAGTTTGCACCAAACAAAGGACTAGATGCATCTCATGCTAGTTACTATCTGGTAACCAATGGAAACATTTTATTTCAATTTACTGTTTATTGATAATTTAAGCATATAAATGACAGAAATAAGCTTTGATGAGTATGAAACAGATGGCATTTATGTAGTATGTACAGAAAGTAGTTAGACGAAGAGGTCGAGAGGGGTTATAAACAAGAATATCAGATCATTAATAGTGTTCACTGATAAACTTTCTTTAATACAAAAACAAAAGGAACAACAATCAGCATAGATGGGGGAACTGTGAAAAAAGCAACCTCCTTTACCACCTACCTACCTACCTACCTAGCTGAGAAGCATCTTTTCAACTACAGGCGAACGGGACTGATGAGGACATCATCCAAGCGAAGATCGAGAAAGCAAGACAAGCTTTCATTACTATCAAGTCTGTGTGGAGGAGATCAACACTCAGCGCTTAGGATGGAAATGAAAATGAGACCCAGATTTTCAACGTCAATATGAATTCAGTGCTTCCCACAATACGGATCAGAGAGCTGACACTGCGTCACGAACGCCACTTCGTACAAACTACACATCTTCATCAACAGATGCCTTCGCTCAGTACTGCACTCAAGATCAGATGGCCGGAAAAGATCAGCAACAGGGATCTCTGGGAGCGAATCAACCCAGCAGTGACCAATTGTACAACAGACAAGCAGAAAGAAATGGTGGTAGGTGCATTGGAGGCCATACTCTGAGAAAAAAACCATCAAGTGAGTGACACCACACACCTGGCCATCGCTCGAGTGGAACCGGAATGGGAAGTGGCAACTCAGTTGGTCTTCAGTACGAGAGTGACATGGAGTGGAGGAGGTCATGTTGAGAGAAGATGGAAGCATGTGGGCGGACGTGAAGTCGGGTGAAAACGTTGGCAGAGAACGTGCATCTAAAGCCCTCTGTTCCTCTAGGAACTAAAGGAAACAATAATAATATAATACTGATGCACATTTTCTTTCATTGAATGCATTGTGTACAATGTTTATTCACCCAACACCCACAAAGTGGGAACTCTTATGTGGATTAGTACTACAGGACTGACTACAAGCTGACATCAGTTACAGAGCCATTATTGAACCTACCAAGGAGTACTGGACAGCTGTTTCATCAGCCTAGTCTGGGACTATTTATCAGTATGCACACACCACAAGGGGTTCGAACCTAGGAGATTCCGCTTACGAGGCTAGCTTGTAGACCATTGAGCCACTGGGAATCAACCCAGTGGTCCAAGAATCCAAACTTTTGACAATTTGTAATATATATTTCTCGTAACTGGCAGCTAACGATTATTATTGATAAAAATAAGCTATTTATCCCTGATTTATCAGAAATAAATATTTTTTTATCTAGAACAGAATTAGTTGATTTAAAGTACGAAACAGATAAATGGTTGTTATAAAAATAGGTAAAAGTTCAAGTACACCAAGCCTCCTGCTGATTGCTACCAATGATTCTAAATCAACTGAAAGTGCACTTAGGATGGCTAGTCAATTAACTTGGTGATAGCCATACTGCGAACTCGACTGTTAGAATCCCATCAGCACAAATTTAAGGGCAACAGATAGATGGAACTTCCTATACCTTACTTAGCAACTTATCAATATATCTTCTACAGTCAGTAATGTTCTGATTGCAGTTGAAGAGATATGATTTTATTCGAGGCATGCTGCAATATTCAAGTATTTGTCTTATAGGGATTGTGCTTGATTGGCTGGAAGGTTTCATCATGAGCTGACATCAATTAGAGAACCATGGGAAAACCTGCCAGGGAGTAATGGATAGCTGTCTCGTCCAAGTTTTGAACTCTTCATCGGTACACAACCATCAGAGGGGTTCGAACCGAGGACCTTCTGGCTAGAAGGCAAACGAGCTTATAGACCATAAACCACTGGGACTGGCCGATCCAATGGCCAGTCCATGAATTCCAACTTCTGCCAATTCATGACATAGCTCGACCACTTTACAATGTCTTATTCTTTGATGAGTTACTGCATCACCTTCAACCTGCTGTACCCTACTTGTCACGGCTTTCCACCAGATCCCCAGGTCATTGCCGGAATAGGGCCAGTCGCTTGTGCGCATCAGATCAATTTTCAAGTAATGGATCTGATCCCAGTTGCTTAATGGTCTACGAGCCAGCTCGCCTTGTAGCCAGAAGGTCCTGGGTTCAAACCCCGCGATGTGGATGCGTACTGACGAAGCGTCCCAAACTGGGCTAATGAAACAGCTGTGTATTACTCCTTAGCAGGTCTTCTAATGGTTCTCCAACTGATGTCAGCTCATGATGAAATTTTTCAACCAAGTATGGGATTTTCAACATGTGATATCGGTAGCCCAAATTATTTAGCAGGGTGACTATTGATATCGGGTGTGCATCGGCCGTGGTTCAAACCCTGGGCCATGTGCATGGTCGGTGAGCGTCCTAATCGCTGTGCCACTGACACACAACCATCTAATATCAACCATTCACAGTTCACCGTGATGATGAGCCACTACCTAGCATAGTGGCCATATTGCAAACCTGACTGATCGAATTAAGTCTGCACCAAAGAAAGGACTGGACACATCACTCTAGTTACTAGTGGCCAATAAAAGTATCCACTACAGTCCTACAGGAGGTCAATCGCGAGCCCGAATAGCTCCTCAGTGGTAACGTTTTCTCTGATTGCAGCACTGAGTGACCCAAATGGATAGAATCTCAGAAAGGAAATAACTCCCTTGAAGATTCCAGATATGCCCTACTGATTCGTGAGTGCCAACAAGCACCAAAATATAGTTCTCAGCAGGGCTTCCTGTGGCCGAATGCCATCAAACATCTAATATCAGGCTTGATTAAATAGCCCTATGCTTCTTAGACCATAACTGTGTGATAAAAATTATTATGCAATAGAGTAGACCCAAAGCATTCAGGTGAATGGTATATTTAATTAGCCTAGTGATGATTTAAGCAGGTAGCGAAAAAAAATGGTTGCAAATACACGCTTTGTCGTTGGATGCCAACAAAACATAAAATCTATGTCAAGTACGTCAAGCCTCCTACTGATTGCTTCTCATTTCCTCCATTTTCATGTAATTAACTCATCATTAGGTGAGTTTAAAAGAATAACAAAAATCTTCTTGCTGAGTTTTGTTTCATAATTAGATAAAGATGTTTGTGGTTAACAATGTGAAATGTTCCCATATCACATGAATTAAAAGTCAATCTGAACGAAGAATATTCTTTTCAATAAATCCTTCTCCTCTTCAGGTTCTTACAATCATAAAATATAATATTTTTTGTTGTCGTTACAATAATGGCCAGTTAGTTATGCGGCGGATACATTTTTTACGTAGAATAACAGATCAGTTATGGGGTGTCAAAATAAATAGTCGTATTTGTGTGACAAACGTGCCCTGGGCTGAAATCGATTACAAAATATTTCGGTGAAATGGGAGACAATGGTGGTGATTAGTCGTCATAATAGATTTGTAGAGTGTGGGGTAGGAAAATTGACAAGTCAGTTCAAGGTTATAAAGTGTCAGGTGAGTGGCTAGTACAAAGTGGTATGTATTAAAGAGGAGGAGATAGTAAGACTGCAATGAGAGGGGTTCATAATGAAATAACGAATGTGTGAAATGAAACAGGTAGGAGGCATATATTGAGAAAAGAGATAATATCACTAATAATAAGTCCGGATAGTATAAATGGGAAATTCGATAGTATTGAGAGAATGTTTGAGTGAAGGGCATAAATTATGACGAATAATAATAATAATTGAAATAATAAGCAAAGGAAAAAAACCAAGAGGGTTAAGGGGAAGAAGCACTCTTGGTGAGAAGAAGAATCATCAATCCAAGTTTGGCGATGGTAGGAACAGCGTCTGGACGTGTTCTTTTTGGATACAAAGTTCCGGTTTAATTGATCTTATTGCAACAGCTTCAGCTATGTGTAGGAGACGTAAGCGAACTGTACGTGATAACGACTTCGGAATTCGGTATATAACCCTGAAAGCTGTGTTGACGTCGATGCGATGTCCAGTATCGACCAAGTGTGACAGGATCGAGCTGAGCCAAGCTGGTAAATGTTCTAGAACCCGTAGACGAACCTGCCTAATCATGCGCCATATATAACTTGAACCACAGGAACAGTTGAAATGAGATATGCATGAAGAAGAGCTAAGTTTAGGTAAGACATCTTTGAGTTGCTGGGTGAAAATTGGACGGCTACCGAAGGATAGATACATACGTGCAGAGTAGAGAAGGTTTTCTTGATCGCCCAGGTTAAATGTTGTGATAGAATCTCCACAGGAGTATCTCCCTTGAATAGGAGACGTAAAAACAGAGGCTTTTTCTCCACCGTTGCCAGTTCAAGTTTATGACTACTGTAACCTAGTTGTATTATTTGTGAATAAAAGAGTGATAAGTTTAACACTGAATTAATGCGCAACATAAAAATAAAAATCAAGTAGGAAGTGAATTAATGAAGTTGCTAATATTTCAGTCTATCGGTTAGTATTATTATTATTGTTCCCTTGGGTTCCTAGTGGAACATAGGGCTTCAACTAAACGTCTCCACTTGCTTCTGTCTTCTGCTGTACTTTTCATCCACATCCATGTTATTCCATACTGTTTCAACCCCTCTTCACACGATCTCCTCCATGTCACCCTAGCACTGACGTCTCACTCGCCGCCTCCCTTTCAGGTTCCACTCGAGCGTTGGCCTGACGCGCGATGTCACCCAACGGCCTCCTCAGTGAGTGTCAACTTTCTCCTGCATATTCGTTGGGCGATTCGTTCTTGTCTTGTTTGTTCCCATAGCTTCTTGTTGGTGATTCCTTCCGGCCATCTGATCTTCAGTAAAGAGAGAAGACAGTTGTTGATAAAGGTCTGCAACAGGCTGTTGGAAATATTCTTTGTGATCCGCCAAGTTTCTGATCCGTGTAGCAAAATTGATTTGACGTTTGTATTCGAAATCCGAATTTTGTTGTTGATACAGGCTGATTGACGAAGATTTCCAGATTGGTTTCAGGTTGATGAATGTGTTTCTCGCCTTCCCGATTCTCGATTTGACATCCTCGTCCGTCCCACCTGCCTGTAGTTGAGACAATGCTCCCTCCTTAGATAAGTGAATGAAGTAACCTCTTTCAAATCCCTCCCGTTGATGGTGATTGGCGCTGGATGTTGCTGCTGTTGTTGTTGTTGTTGGTTGTTTATTTTCATAACCTCCGTCTTGTCTATGTTTACTTGGAGTCCTGTCTTCTCTGGCTGCTTCTTCGACCAGTTTGTCGGTTTTCGCTTGTGAGTCTTCGATTTTCAACTGTAACTTATACTAACCGATGGTTAGTTACAGAAAATAAGTAATCACCAATAAATCTTGTAGGGAAAAATTGAGACTTCACTATCAGCAAAAAAGAGGGTCACCTTCTTAGTCAGTCGATAGCCGATTTATCATAATTCAGCATTTAACACTGGATGCAAGCAGGCTATAATTTCATCCTCTCACCATCTACTCTGCATTACTCTAGGATAAATGTCCAACCCCGCTGCTTCCTATCCAAGTCCCCCTCTTAAGGGCCTACCTGATGTGTAAAGCCACTTAAATGTCTCCTCCATGTATCTCCTATTCATCTTCTTTCCTATCTGTAAATTTTAATGGTTCTCTTTCAAACAAAATTTCTTTTTTTGTTATCCTATCCAGCTGACAATCTGATATTCATTGTCGAAACAACAAAGTGGGGAAGTATGTGCTTTATTTTATCAAAGTCTGCATCACTCTCTTCGAAATATTTTCAGTGACGCACAAACGCTAGCACTCTGGATCCTCTACTGGCACTGATTTGATACTGGGATTGAATTTTGGAATTTTTTTTCCTTGCTTTGAGTGCAGTAGATTTCATTGCATTGAAGGTCTTCTGTTTCGATTTCTCAATCCTATCTGGCTTTGACATGCCTCCTCATCTGTGCTGTCTGTGGTTAAAACGATGATTACAGTTAAGATACATACAGTTAATATATAAAGTCTTTTAAGTAATGGTTTGTAGGGATTTGATTGATTGGTTACAGGATTTCATCATGAGCTGACATCAGTTAGAGAACCATTGGAAAACCTGTCAGGGAGTACTGCCAGACAACTAGCTGTTTTCAAAGGCCTATTTTGGGACTCTTCATCAGCACGCACCCACCGCAAGAGTTCGAAGCCAGAACCTTCTGGTTACAAGCTGAGTTGATAGACTATTAAGCTACTGTGATTATTGTTATTATTGTTTCCTTTAATTCCTAGAGGAACAGAGGGCCTCAACCGTGCGTCTCCATTGCGTTTGATTCTCTGCTAGAGTCTTCACCTGGCTCCAAGTCTGCCCACACACACGCTTTCATCTCCTCTTCTCATTACCTCCTCCAAGTCACCCACCCTCGCACTGACGACCAACTCGCCTCTTCCCTTTCGGGTTCCACTCGAGCAATGGCTTGTCTAGTGATGTCACTTGATGGTTTCCTCAGAGTATGGCCAATCCATCTCCATTTCATCCTGCCATTTTGTTGCACAATTGATTCTTGCTGGGTTGGTTCGCTCATTGACAGAGGTCTCTGTTGCTGCTCTTTTCTGATCATCTGATCTTGAGTATTGAGCGAAGACAACTGTTGATTAAGGTCTGTAGTTTGTTGGAGATGCTCTTTATGACGAACAGTGCAAGTATCTGATCCGTATGTATTAGCACTGACTGACTTCACATTTGAGTTGAAAATCCGGATCTTATTTTCATTTTCATGCTGAGTGCTGTTGACCTTCACACAGACTTGAGAGTGGTGAAAGCTTGTCTTGCTTTCCCGATCCTCGCTGCTTTGATATCCTCGTCAGTTCCGCCTGTAGTTGAAACGATGCTTCCCATCCGAGGCGAAAATTTGTCCTAACACCTGACCTGCTGTAACCGGAAAGTCCTGGCTTCGAACTCTTGCGGTGGGTGCGTAACAATGAAGAGTCTCAAATTAGGCTGACGAAACAGCTAGCTGTCAGGCAGTACTTCCTGGCAGGTTTTCTAATGGTTTTCTAACTGATGTCATCTTATGTTGAAATTCTCTAATTAAAGTCTTTTAAGTTAGAGACAGACGATTTAAAACAGGAAAAATTAATGCTGTACTATTTTTCTTTCTCACTATTTTATAATTTTTTCATTGAAATCAAGTATCAAGATCTCCTGTGGAGTGATCCACAAAATCAACCAGGATTACTAATGAATGAAAGACGTGGAATGGGTTGTTCATTTGGTCCAGATATTACAGAGAATTTTTTAGACAGTAATAATTTCAGCCTGTTGATACGTTCACATGAATGTAAACCTGAAGGTTTTCAATGGTCACATGGGAAAAAACTGTTAACTATCTTCTCAGCATCCAATTATTATGCAGATGGTTCAAATCGTGGCGCATATGCAAGAATCACCTCTGACGGTGCTGTACAGATAATACAATATGTAACTGGTGGAAATAAGAAATTAAAGACAATGAGACAAAAGTAAGGAATATATTATGTTTAAAAAAATTATTTTATTCTCATTATGTATTTCATAGCGCTACTGATAAAAAGACTTCTAATGCAGCTAGTATCGTAATAATTGAAAATGTGAAGCCAGTTGATGAAGAAGAAAGAATGCTGACACAAACTCTGGTTGATAACAATTATCCAGACAAGTTCATCAGGAGATATGAAGTAGTCAGAAAACTAAGATCCATTCTCAAACTCACCCCCAAGAAAGACGTGTACATCAAGCTACCCGATATGGGGCATCACAGCAACTTGATAACTAGACAAAGACTGAAAGCTGCTGCTGTTAGAAAGACTTTTCATGCAGCTAATATCATAATAATTGAGAATGTGAAGCCAATATATCCATCCATCTAAGCCCAGTTTGGTACCTTGTTTGACAGTACACACTCATAACCCTACCCCGGAAACCTCAAATTAGGAGGTAACTCCGATAATTATTCAGCTACTGATACGTGATCTAACTTAAATCCGATTAGCTCCCTACAATCCAAAATTTGTAAATCATTATAAAGCAAGAACTACAAATGTAGATAAAGCAATAAGAAGACGTGATTTGTCTGAATCGTGTAGTGTACGTATGCGCGCAACACATTCTGAATAATCTGATCACACTCCACGGACTTTTCATAGGATTGTATATTATATGAAATTAATAAAGAGTTAAGAGGTGAGAAAATAGACTACTTAGGTCAAGTTGAAAGGGCATATTGAAGGTCAAAATAACAATGAAGATCACTAAACCAAATAAGAGAGGTAATAGTACATCTGTTGTGGTATCATCGAAACGAAGTTTACCAAGGAGCGTGGTTTAGTGTGATGACGAATTCTCGCTTTCAACGCATAAAGGTGGTTTAAACTTTCTAATTGCTAGCTGAGGCTTCCACAGACTTAAGGATACACCCTCCCCCAAACACGTTTTATTGATAGGTATAAAAGATGTCTTAACGTTAGTGCTATGTCCTGTCTCCTCTGTAATATGTTTCGCAATAGAGGATCTAAGTCTCCTGTTCTCGCCATTAATGGATCCTGAAGATTTTATTTGCTTCTGGAGCCATTTAGGAAGATGCTCTGAAGCCAGCTCTTAATTGCAGACATCAGTGAGTAGTTCTCCATCCTATGTATGTGTGACCACACGTATATTCAAATCAGCAAATAAAGTGGGATATGACATCATTTTTCGCATGTTCAGAAGACTTAGGTGGATGGATATATTGGCTTCACATTCTCAATTATTATGATATTAGCTGCATGAAAAGTCTTTTTAACAGCAGCAGCGTTCAGTCTTTGTCTAGTTATCAAGCTGCTATGATGCCCCATATAGGGTAGCTTGATGTACACGTCTTTCTTAGGGGCGAGTTTGGAGAATGGGTCTTGGTGTTCTGACTACTTTATATCTCCTGATGAACTTGTCTGGATAACTGTTATCAACCAGAGTTTGTGTCAACTTTCTTTCTTCATCATCATCAAGTGTATCGGTCTTCAGTGCATATTCATTGGATTCTACTGAAGAGGAATCTTACTAAGGTTCTTTTTTACCGAACTGGGCAGAAACTGTGGTAATTAGGATACTGTCCTGTCCGGGTAGGTTTTCTATAAATAGATCTTTTTATTGATCCATCAAGCCGTCGACTAAGCAATATGTCTAGGAAAGATAAACAATTATCTTCCTCTTCTACATATGTAAGTGATATGCTATTCTGAACTTCATTCATTCGATTGAAAATTGAGCTGGCAGAACAAGACTTATCACTGATGATTACAATGTCGTCTACATACCTTCTGTAAAGTGACACATTTTCGATTAAATCCTCCGATAAGTTCTCGATGTACGACATATAAATATCTGCAAAAAGGGGCTTTAACGGAATTCCCATAGCAACACCATCAACTTGGTGGAAACCATCGCCTTCAAATGTAAACCAAACATTGTTAGTACATAGAAGTAATAAATCCTTTAAATAAGATATACGGAACGGGATGAAAAAAAATTGTTTGTGGAAATATAATCACACAAAATGTCAACTGTTTTGATCAAAGGCACATTAGTGAATAACGAGTTTACATCAAAAGAGTACATATTCTTATTCATAATATTAATATCGTCAAGAAAATTAACCAATTCAAATGTATCTCTTAACACATACAGAATTGTGTTTTGACTGGATGCAGTAATTCTACTAACCATTTAGCGAGTTTATGAGTTAGGGATTTGCACATTGACAAATTACGTCTTCTTATTGCTTTATCTAAATTCATAAAGGGAACTAAGTGTTTTAAATTTTTTAAGAGAAGGCTCCCTCCACATACTACTATGTGCATGATCGGCGAGCATCCTAACCGCTGCGCCACCGACGCACAATCATTAGACAGTAAACTTTGTTAAATAAAACAGTTTTTATATGTATGTTGTATGATTAAAAGATTTTCCTATATTTCCTTCATTTTTCGCCTTTTAACCCTAACTAATACCAGAATAAGTTGGGCTGAAGAATCAGCTTTAACCGATTTAAAGCGTAAAATCTCGGCTTATTCATCAGAATTGAAAAAAGAATTTGAATTACTCGACCCTACAAATACTGGTAAGCATTATTTCTTAGTATTATTATTAGTATAATAATAATAATAATTTGCTTTATTCCAGAAACAGTATTAGCGGTACAGTGTGCAATTTTCAGCACATATCTACAATATTTGCAGCTAATTTTATCAAACATTTAAAAGGAGTATTTCAAAAAATAAATATAAAGACAACAACAACAAAAATAATAAAAAAGTGCAAAAAAAATTACCAAGAAGTAGAAAGGAAAATAAACAACATAATAAATAATATCTCAGTGTTGAGTAGTGGAAGATATGATATGATTATGACTGGTTACAGTTAAACTGTAGTCATACAAGAAGTTAGATATGATATTTATGAATGTTTATCGCCAAGATGATCGGTTAATTTAGGTTGAAACAACACTAAACAATCAGGTCTGATGCGGTGTTTGTAGTGGTAGTGTGAGTAATCCTGTATAATACAAAATTTAAAAATGGTGATATTGGCTTTCGCAACCAAGATTGTCAGTTAATATTGCCGAACAAAAAAAAACAAAACAACAACCACAAAAACTAATAATTACATGATGGTTAATGACAGGACAATTTTGTAATACTCTTAGTGCTAATATAGTCGGAACCAGTAGATACACAAAAGAAGGAATAGAGTAAAGTACAAAAAGTGAGCCAATGTTAATAATTTAGGTAGCTAAGTATGTTTAAGAAGGAGTTCACTATAGAATGTAAAATAAGAGAGAAATAAAAGAGCCTAAAATTATGATATTAACAACAAAGCAAGTCATAGGTTTTGCGCTTAACATTGTCTCTGTCACTTAGAACACGGGCCAAGTATGGTATCGTTGAGTTCCTGTACTTGGTTGTACGAGCATAGATTATTTTATACTGATTTCTGGTTTTACTCGATGAAATACAAGGCGAGAGTTGGGAATAAAGGAGGGGTGTTAGGGGTCGGAGAGTATAGTTTTTGACCATTTTTCGCATGTATTCAGATGCCTTTCAACTATTGTAGTGACCAGCTGACTGAGTTTTACACCACTAGTCCTGCTAACTACCTTCAACATCCTTCTCAGGATGGTGTAGTCCTTTTTCAGTAGCCGAGGAAAGACTAACGGGGAGCAGTAAAGTAGAATAGGTAAGATACAAGAGTTGAAAAATTGTGAAAGTAGAGGTTGGGTGATTCCAGATTGTCTAGGTTTTTTAATGTAGTAGGTTAGACAGAACACTTTCTTAGAAATCGTTAGGATATGAGATGTCCAAGTAAGGTCGGAAGATAGAACTAGACCAAGGTATTTTGCATTCGACTTAGTTCCAGTTTTAGTCCCTTCAATGAAACAGGCTTCATGAGTACTTACTAGTGTTTGTAGATCTCGTTTATGCCTAAAGGAGAACTCAATAGTCTGACATTTTGAGGGATTCAGCATGAGGCCATTTAGTTTAGATCACTGACTGATGTCCGACAGGAAGCTATTTCATTTATTTCTTAATATGATAACCAGTTTATAGTGAAAATTATTTAGTGTACTTCAAATAAATGTATGAAACAAGGGACTTTAACAGCATACCTCTATTCCACTCACTTCTATGCCATCAATGTCAACTGTCTACACGACTGCTGACAAGCTTTTATTTCTACTTCACATGATCATCTCCATGTCACCATAGAATGTAGGCTCAACATGTGTTTCTTCTAATTTAGTCCCTGTGCACACGTTCAATCCATCTTAATTTCCTTCCACGTATTTATCGGGTAATCGGTATTCATGGATGGAACCTCACATCAACCTCCAGAGCTTCGTCCCACTGGTCGGAAAGCAAAACCTAGTACGTACATTATGTTCAAGGATTCGAAAAATCTGTTGGGAAGACACGATATAGGATGAGTTAAATTTACTATATGAAACCCGACTAGGAAACGAGTATCAACTAAGATGTATCGAAAAAAACATGAAGGAAGAGCTTGTGTTGCCAAAAGTGACAGCTGTTCCTAAGAAAACTCTCTTCACGAAAATGAAATTCACAGGTGACATTGAAGCAGAAATTCTTAGAAGCTGACTTTCTAAATGTCTAAAGAAGATATTTCAAGCAGCTATCTTACTCTTCACGTTCTCCAACAGACGCTTTGTCATCTTTCCACTAGTTCCTCTCACCTCTACACAACTATATTGACAGGTCACTTTCCCACACTTGTTACGTCATGCCAACTTCTTTCTCCTTTTCTAATTTCTAGTTAGTCACCCCTTCTAGACTACACTACACATTATGTGATATCCTTTTTCGAGGACAAATTTTGCCAATATCTGATGGGGGTTGTCTTTTGATTGTACAGCTTATGAAAATGAATCGTCGAAAAAAAAATTTTTCTTCGCTGTTTACAACTTTTCTTTATGACTCAATATGGGAGGGAATATTTCGTTGATAATCGATTGTTAGCTTCTAGTTTGCTAACTGCAAGAGTTCCATGCTGCCTATTCTTTCTGGTTAGCCATCTCAAATTCACTATTGACAGAAAGGTGCAATTATATCCAAATGTGTATCAGGGGAACCCATCGAACGGACCATTTTCTAGATAAAAATGTCTTTCGCATTTAGTACAGGTGTTTAGCCTTGAGACTATCAGCTGAATAACTATACACATTTGACCTCAATTTTGATGATTAAGAGTCACAATCAGTAGGGTGACTCTGACTTCCATCATGTAGAAGGCTCATCTTTAAGATCGATAATTTGCAAACAAGTTAAAAGCTAAGGTGGAAAGATATTCTAGGATAAAATGAAGACAATAAATTCTAAGAAATAGATATATCTTGTAAATATTATTATTTTATTGTTCCCTTGGGTTCCTAGTGGAACATAGGGCTTCAACTACACGTCTCCTCTTCCTTCTGCCTTCTGCTGTACTTTTCACATGCATTCATGTTAATCCATACTGTTTCAACTCCCCTTCACACGATCTCCTCCATGTCACCCTGGGACGCCCCACTCGCCGCTTCCCTTTCGGGTTTCACTCGAGCACTGGCCTGACGCGCGATGTCACCCAGCGGCCTCCTCAGCGAGTGTCCAATCCATCTCCACTTTCTCCTGCATATTTGTCGAACATTTGGTTCTTGTTTTGTTTGTTCCCATAGTTTCTTGTTGGTTCTTGTTCTTTCCGGCCATCTGATCTTCCAGTATAGAGCGAAGACAGTTGTTGTTGATAAAGGTCTGCAACAGGCTGTTGGAAATATTCTTTGTGGCCCACCAAGTTTCTGATCCATCCGTATAGAAGAACTGACTGACTTGACGTTTGTATTGAAAATTCGAATTTTGTTGTTGATGCAGGCTGAGTGACGAAGATTTGTAGATTGGTTTCAGGTTGATGGATGTGTTTCTCGCCTTCCCGATTCTCGATTTGACATCCTCGTCCGTTCCTCCTGTAGTTGAGACAATGCTCCCTAGATAGATAATTGAATGAAGTAACCTCTTTCAAATCCCTCCCATTGATGGTGATTGGCGCTGGATGTTGCTGCTGCTGTTGTTGGTTGGTTATTTTCATAACCTCCGTCTTGTCTATGTTCACCTGGAGTCCTGTCTTCTCTGGCTGCTTCTTCGACCATTTTGTCGATTTTCGCTTGTAAGTCTTCGATCTTGTGTGATATCTTGTAATACTGTCTTTATAATTAGTTAGTTACTTATTGTTACAATAATATTATCTAGAATTTATTACATTGCTTTGACTGTTTGTTGTTGCCTAACTATTGAATGAAGAATGCGCGTCTAATCCTACTCATTTTCAAGAGTTGGTTTGTAAGGATTAGACTGATTTTTCAACTTTGACAAAGGATTGATATCAGTTAGAGAACCAGCTGTTTCGGCAGCCTAGTATGGGACTCATCGGCAGTACGCACCCATCATAGGAGGTTCGAAACCAGGACCTTCCAGGTAGAAGGTGAGCAGCTCGTAGACCATTCATCCACTGGGACCCGACTTCTCAATGGCCAGCCCATGAATTCTAACTTCTACCAATTCGTGATTTTTAGCCTGATCACAAACCACTGTCATCGGTAGGAAGTCCATCCTCACTCCCAACTGAATGTACCTTACTGGTCACGACTTCTCACTAGAACTCTAGTGCCGATGATTCCCAAACAAGGAATGAAACAGCTTTCCAGTACTCCAGTGCTGGTTTTCAACGGTTCTCCAACTGATATCAATCCATGGGCAAACTCATCCTACTCATAACTCATACTCTGAAGGTGTCTACAACTCATTGAGTTGTAATAGTTCACCCTTACGACTGGAACCCATTACACATCGTTTTGAGTGCTAGGCTAATGAACCACTAGATTCAACTCCTCCGCAATAATTATCACTTGTTATTTGACAAAATTATTACTTCTTAATTTAACTCTTCATTGAATTTTGAAAGTTTTTAGTGTATAAAAGACATATGCAAGATTTCAAAAAATTACAAATTTTATAAGGAGTTTTGACCTGACACTAGTAAGTAGTGTGATGCATCTAGTCCTCTCTCTGGTGCAGACTGAATTCTATCAGTCAGGTTGTAATGTGGCCACCATTCTAGGTAGCTCGCCATCACGGTGCACATTGATTTGATGATATTAGATGGTTGAAGGCAGTCGGCAGGAAGCCTTGGACCTAGGTTTCGTGCTAGTTGGCACTCACCAGTCAGCAAGGCGTATCTGCATCCTTGAAGGAACTCATGTCCCTTCTGAGATTTGAACCCGCGTCACATAGTGCCGCCTGCAGTCAGAGACGTTACCACTGAGCTATTCGGGCTCGCGATTGACCTCCTGTAGGACTGTAGTGGATATATTTTTGCAAGATTTCAAAAAATTACTAATGTTATAAGGAGTTTTCAAAAAAAGAACAAGCACGCAAACATCAAGTCAGTAGAAGTCAACACGGTTGTTACCAATGATACTAGAAGTGGTTGGACGATTTTCTTTTGTAAACATAACTCTGATTTTTCCAACTAAATGGCTAAGGCTTCAGAAATACAAAGAAGAAGAAAGCATATTGCCTTTGCTTTGTAGATTAGTCTGAAGGAGGTATTCGTTGCGATATGATGACCATTGTTGATGAGATGTTCGGCTATAGCACTCCTTATACAGCCACTGCTCCAATTTGGCAGCTATGAGGGATAGTGTTCTTGAACCCTTTTGAACAGGATCTACGTCGAACGACCAATGTACCTGACTTGCTCCACTGCATCAGGTGAACTGATCTATGCACACAGAATTAGCCAGATGCGAGATCTTGTCCTTGAGGCTTCTACAGATCAGTAGGCGACTATACAGCTAAGTATATGAATTCGCTGCCGAAAAGAGACTCTTCGCTGATCTATGGGTTTTGTTTTCATTAATGTCTGGATGGGGACTATTCATGAATTTAGTAATTCTTGGAAAATTCTGTCTCTAAGACAACAGCATTGTTTAATGTATTGGGGAGAAAAGTTTCGAAATAAAATTGATCGCAGAAAAGATGATTTCTAGTGTGATTCCATTTTGTTTTCTATTTTTTAATTTTTTCTCTATTCATTATTCAGGAAAAATCTCTAAACTTGAATGGAGTAAGACAATGGAGAAAGTATTAGATTTGAAATTTCCTTGGGGTACACTTCAACCACGTCTAGTCGCTTCATCAAAAACACCGAATCAAGTAGAATACTTAACAACATTTGAAAAGTTAGTCATATCAAATAACACGTCGAATGTAAGTTAGCTATTAGTATTAGTATTAATATTGTTATTCATTCCCTGAGTTCTGTGTGATATTCGGTAGGATATCTCTGCCACACACTTGGCTCTCAGCTGGCTACACGAATGTCTAGAAGATTTCGTCTCCTCTCTTCAAGTGGTCTCCATGTCACCCTTGGACGTTTGGCTGTCTGATTCCCATTCAGGTTCCATTCCTTAGACTAGTGTATATCACTTCAAAGTTTCCTCGGTGTATTTTCAGTTAATTTCCTTATCTGTATTTGTTAGGTGATAGATTGTTGGCTCAGTCTCTGGCTCCTGGAGTTTCTTACTACTTATTCCTTCAGGTCCTCCATCTGATCCTCAGTTTCAAGTGGAGACAGAAGCTATAACCGCTAAGATTTCCGCTGTCTTTTATTGTTTATTTTATAATTGAACTATCAGAAATGGCTGTGTCTAAAAGCACAATGTTACGACACAACAATACTACTTAATGATAACCTGAAAATAAGTAGACTACAGCTTTTGTCTTGTTTCATTCCGTTTATCGTGTTTTGTACTGTATAGCTTTTATTTGACTTGTATATGCACTTGTTTATTACTGTGATCTTTAGATGGTTGGAGGCAATCGGCGCTCGACCTAGGTTTCATGCTAGCTGGCACTCACCAATCAGTCAGCAAGCCGTATCTCCAACCTTGAAAGAACTCATATACCTTCTGAGATTCGAACCTGCGTCACCCAGTGAGTACTGCAGTCAGAGACGAAGTTACCACTGAGCTATTCGGGCTCACGATTGACCTCCTGTAGGACAGTAGTAGATACTTTAATTGGACACTAGTTCCTAACTAGTGTGATGCGTCTAGTCCTTTGTTTGGTGTAGACTGAATTCTATCGGTCAAGTTTGCAATGTGGCCATCTTTTATGGTCTAACTGTGAGTGAACAACTAATATCTTTGAAGAATGGTGATTCATTACTCGGCTGTAACCAGCGTTGTCGTGTGTCTTGTATTCCATCTTTGCGCCGAGTAAATCCTCTCTGTCAAGTTTACAGTGTGATCACAAAGTTGGGTGACTCACCAATCACGGTACACATTTTCATTGATCTCAGGTGAAGTTGGAGGCAATCTGCAGGAAGCCTCAAAGCTTACTGACTGACACTGTTCTAACCACCTGTTTAAAATCTAAATAACCATATATACTTCCGAAGCATTATATAGTATTCGTGGAACCGACGAGGACATCAAAGCAAGAATCGGAAAAGCAAGACAAGCTTTCACTACTCTCAAGTCTCTCAAGTCAACAGCATTCAGCATCAAAAATAAGATCCGGATTTTCAACTCCAATGTGAAGTCAGTGCTACTCACTATACGGATCAGAGACTTGGCCAGTGCGTCATAAAGAGCATCTCAAACAAACTACACACCTTCATTAACAGTTGTCTTCGCTCAATACTCAAGATCAGATGGCCGACCAGAAAAGATCAGCAACAGGAAGGGATCTCTGGAAATGAGCGGACCAACTCAGCAGGAACCGATTGTGAAACAAATAGGCAGGAAGAAATGGAGATGGATTGGCTGGTCATACTCTGAGGAAACCATCAAGTGACATCACTAGACAAGCCATCGCTCGAGTGGAACCCGAAAGGAAAGCGGCGAGTTGGTCGTCAGTGCAAGGGTGACATGGAGGAGGAGGTCATGTGAAGAGGAGATGAAAACGTGTGGGCAGACTTGGAGCCAGGTGAAGACTGTAGCAGAGAACCGAACGCAATGGAGACATGTAGCTGAAGCCCTATGTTCGTCTAGGAATTAAAGGAAACAATAATAATATAACAATAGTGGGCAATGCTTTGATATTAAAAATGATGCACGATAGGTTTGGTTTCTAATGCGAGCAGTGATCACCAGTCGGTACTTATTTTAACTTGATTAATCAATAACCATGTTATTGAACTTCTTACTATGCTAAGGATTAACTATTCTTTGACTGGACACGACATGACGTCATGCGTCTAGGTTAAAAATGCATAAATATGACACGTTTTACCTTCATGAAAGCCAGCAACCAATTCTCTTGTTCTCTTCAAGTATTCGTTTGTAGGGATTGTGTTTGATTGGTTACATGATTTCATCAAGAGCTGACATTGGTTAGAGAACCATTGGAAAACTACTTTGGAGTACTGACATACAGCTGCTTTGTCAGCCTTGTTTGGGACTCCTCATCAGTACACACATACCACCAGGGTTCAGACCCAGTACCTTCTGGTTACAAGGGAAGCTAGCTCGTAGACCATTAAGCCACTGGGACCCAATCCAATGGCCAGTCCATGAATTCTAACTTCTACCAATTCACAACATAGCACAAGTGCTAGCCAATGTCTTAGTCGAGTATTTGTCCTCACACCCAACCTGCTGTACCCTACTGGTCACGACTTCCCTCTAGAACCGAAAGGTAACTACCTACCTGAATAGGGCCAGTTGCCAGTGAGCATCTCATCAATATTCAAGTATTGGTCGTCTTTCTTCTGTTGTTACACTAGTACTGATAAGAACAAGCATTACCTTGCCACATAAGTTGATAGGCTTCAACCACAAATGCCTAAATGAAGGCTGATTTTCTCACCAGAATCATCAAGGTGAGTTGTGCATAGCCAAGGAGTTGAATTCCTGCTTCCATTCCATTATGGGTAAATTTTGTTTTGATAAAGTCTCACAGTATTATACAGTAATGTTTACTGATGACGTTTCGAGCACAATTTATTGCTGCTCATAATCATATCATATCCGGTTATACCATATAAAGAGGGGACATCTGAGACCTTTTACGTAGGATTCTCAATAAAGCAGGAATTAGGGTGGCATTCAAACCTACAAACTCACTCAGGGACAAGCTCTGTGGGTTAAAGGACCCAATGGACCCAATTAGACAAAATAATATAATTTACAAAATACCTTGCAATGACTGTCAGTGAGGTCAACTACATAGGTCAAACTAGTAGGTCAGGGGTAGTCAGATTGTCAGAACATAAGAATTTAGCTAAGGTAAGAATGGTTGACCCAGAGAAGATAAGTAATTTAGAAAAAAACTCAACTATTGCACTACATGCATTAACACACAACCACACTATAGAGTGAGAGAGGGTTAAAATTCTAAGAAGTAATCTATGTAGATGGAGGGAGAGATAGGTCGATTACTGAATACTGCCTGGTTCATTGACTCTACACCCAACACATACAGTAGGAATGAATCATCACTCATACCTGAAATATGGAAAATAATACTACCAATCAAATCAAGTGAAAATCAAGTGAAAAACAATGGAACTATATAAATGAATTTAGGAAGTCGTGTGATTACCTTGATATGATTATGAGCAATAAATTAAGCTCGAAACGTGGTCATCAGTAAATATTACTGCATAACACTGTGAGACTCTATCAAAATAAAAATTTACCCATAATGGAATTACATTATACCACAGTGCACAAGTTTTATTCTTATATTCCTGCTTCCATGTATGAGTGAGATGTGGTAAAACACAACCAACCCTCAGTCCATGCTGTTACCTCAGTGAATCACAAAGTCTTTTGACTATCTTGCCGTGACTTTGAAAGTTCCTTCATTGACATATTAAAACCAACCTAGATTTCGAATACGCCTTACTGACTGGTAAGTAAGTGCCAATAAAATGCGAAGTCTAGGTCTACCGTTTCCTAACGATTGCCTCTAATCATCTAAAAACAAAAAGTTATATTTTAATTATTGTGAAATGTTTTCAATGAACCATGAATTACATAATATTGTTCAATATTTTCTTATTTTTTTCGCCTGCCTATAGTCAATTTCTATTATGTGTGTTTTCTTTAATCTTGAACAGATGCCTCCTTCTGTTACTGAAGAAATGTATAAATACCAGGATGTACTTGAAGGGATATTTCGAGCTATGGATAAAGATAATTCAGGTGAGGGGATTGAATATATATCCAGTTGTGATTCCCAAGGATTATTGATGCTTGTAATCAACTGATTATCATGTGTTATGGACGAATATAAAAGCAAATTAAATCATTAGCCTAAGACAGTGAGAAGAAAAAGGCATCAGGTTATTTCTGACAGTGACTTGCTACAGGTTGGAGCTTCCTGCAGTTCTAGTGAGAAGTCGTGACCAGTGAGGTCCAATTAGAAGTCACGTGTGGATGGATTTCCACCAACGACAATAGTTGGGGTGGCGCTAAAATCACGAATTGGTAGAAGTTAGAATTCATGAGCCATTGAATCAGGTCCCATTGGCTGAATGGTATACGAGCTTGCCTTGTAACCGGAAGGTCCCGGGTTCGAATCTCAGTGGGTGCGTACTGCCGATGATTCCCAAACTAGGATGAAACAGCAGCTGTCCAGTACTCCAGTGCTGGTTTTCAATGGTTCTCTAACTGATATCAGTCCGTGATCAACTCGTAAAAGATTATTATAATTATTATTCGCTTAGGTTCCAAGTGGAACATACGGCTTCAGCAAAACATCTACACTTTTTATATTCAGCTGGCTCACGCCGCGACTGATCATAATCTCTCATCACCTCCCCCACAATACACGATCTTCTCCATGTCACCCTCGCATTGATGACCAACTCGTTGCTGTTTGTGTTGATTTTTGTCCTCTCTCGTGTTGTACGATGCATAAGCTACTGTCGCTTAAATACGAGTCATCGTCTTTATCACTATTATTGATTTCCAAGTGGAATATTGTGTTTCGTGTTTTGAAGTTCCAGTAACCATAGTGTTGTTCATTTTTTAACAACGGGGGGGAGGCAGAAGTTGCTAATCTCACCCCAATAGTCTGGAGCTTCTCTCTCTTTCTATGGAAATATTGGGTTACACATTAATCTTGAACCTATAACATGGAAAGCTACACCTACAAACACAAAACCAAAGCAGGGAATATGCATTTGGCGTACAACCCTCTTTGAGGCTTGCAAATCACTATTATTATTATTGTCTCCTTTAATTCCTAGAGGAACATAGGGCTTCAGCCACTCACGCCTCCATTGCGTTCGGTTCTCTGCTAGAGTTTTCACCTGGCTCCAAGTCTGTCCTCACGTTTTCGTCTCCTCTTCACATCACCTCCTCCTCCAAGTCACCCTTACACTGACGACCAACTCGCCGCTTCCCTTTCGGGTTCCACTCGAGCGATGACTTGTCTAGTGATGTCACTTGATGGTTTCCTCAGAGTATGGCCAGCCAATCCACCTCCATTTCTTCCTACCTATTTGTTTCACAATCGGTTCCTGGTTGGTTCGTTCCCAAAGATCCCTGCTGCTGATCTTTTCTGGCCGGCCATCTGATCTTGAGTATTGAGCGAAGACAACTGTTGATGAAGGTGTGTAGTTTGTTTGAGATGCTCTTTATGACGCGCAGTGCAAGTCTCTGATCCGTATAGTGAGTAGCACTGACTTCACATTGGAGTTGAAAATCCGGATGTTATTTTCATTTTCATGCTGAGTGCTGTTGACCTCCACAGAGACTTGAGAGTAGTGTCAGTTTGTCTTGCTTTTCTGATTCTTGCTTTGATATCCTCGTCAGTTCCGTCTGCCTGTAGTTGAAACGATGCTTCTCAGGTAGGTAGAGGAGGTTGTTTCTTTCAGGTTCCTTCAATTTATGCTGATCGTTGTCTGTTGTTGTTGTTCTTGTCCAGGAATCTTCATCACCTCTGTTTTCTCTATGTTCACCTGAAGTCCTATCTTTGATGGTTCTTCTGCCAACTTGTTGCTTTTCGCTTGCATATCTTCCAGTTTGTGGGAAATCAGAAATATATCACATCGGCGAAGTCCAGATCCTCCAAGTTTTTTTGTGTGAGTCCATTTTATGCCTGTTTCCTCATTTCCCATCCCGCTGTTTGTCGCATTATCCAATCTACTGCAATCGGCAAAATCATTGGCGATAGTAGGCAGCCAGCTTGTCTTACTGCTGTCCTCACTTCGAAGTATTCCGTAAGTTTCCCGTTGTAGATTACTTGGCATGCAGCATTGTCGTACAGCTGTTGGATGAGATGTATAATTGTCAGTGGCACCCCTTGGTAGTAGCAAAGTAGTTGCCAAATCACCTCTCGATCGACGCTGGCAAATCACTATGAGCTCACATATTGTCTTGACAGATTTAGCATAAGAACACCATCAAGCGATCCAATAGGTGAGATACCGTGAAACTTAAGTTAAGGTATATGATTCCGACTACTCAGGACCACTAGCAATCAAAGAAAATGTCATAACCCTAGACCGACGACTGATCAATGTCTACAATTTAAAAATATTTGATTTTAAATTTGTATTTCATGTTATATTTATGTATTTATCTGCAATATTTAGGTCGTATATCTCTGAATGAATTTAAGCATGCATGTTTACGCCTACCCAATTGGACAAAGATTGATGAACAAATTGTTATGGATATGGCACGTTCAATTGACATAAACAAGGATGGTTTAATTGATTTTAATGAATTTCTTGAAACATTTCGACTAGTCGAGTCGGATCATAATCGTAATGAATCGTTAACGGATCAACAAATAGAGGAATGAATTAGTGAATGTAGGAAGGAAGGAAGGAATGAGAAGGGAATTACCGCTCAATTACCGGCATTTCTTCTATCACAACTTTATGCTACAGAGTTCGGGGTGATTTGTAATCTATTTTTATTTCAAGTACGCATTGTTTATATAATCTGATAACAATGAATACATATATATAAATATGTTTATGTATAAGCCAATTCCAGTGTGAACGATGACCTCACAAGACCCAACTTTTTATTGATCAGTTGGACGAAATAACACATATCCAATGAAGAGACAGGGAGAGAGACAAAAGTTTCTTATTCCTGTGAATTCGAAATGATCCTTCTTCTTCTGGTATTACCCCCCACTTTATTTTTTATTCCTTCACATTCCCAGGGGATCACAAGGGGGCTTCAAGCCCCATCCTTGAAGTTTCGATAGCAGTGACTTTATTTCAACAGGATCAGGTTACTAGCCAGCCTCATGCCCCCCCCCCGCCAACTTTCCCTCTTTATCGGTCTTATTACTGGCTCAGGGAGGTCCAGGAGTGCATTGGTGGTGGCCGGGGATCGGACCCCGAACCACATTCGGCATGGTTGGCAAGCATCCTACCTTTGTGCCACCGACGCACTACTACTCACATTGCTATTCAAATTACTACTACTAATTCTCACACTAATACTACTACTACTACTGCAACTCATACTTCCAATGCTACTAATGACGCTTCCTATAAACCACAAGATTAATGTTTATGATACATTTCAAAACAAACAGCATGCTTACTTAACCATACATGGGAGTGTTTCGTTTCATCCACACATACAAACACACACACAAAGAACAATTTAGAGAGAGAGAGAGTGAGGGCTGGAGAGGGGATTGGAAGGCTTCTTCTTCTCTACAGTTAGATTTCTATTCCCCTATTTCACTGTATCACATTTTTTGTATCACTTTGTGTATTCCCCTGTTATTGTGTATAGATAGCCACACCCATTGCATAAAACAAAGTCAAAAGCAAGCGAACAGACAGTCGTTAACTCACTCACGCATGCACGCACGCACACACTTCCACACACACACTTGACCCCGCCTAAGTATCAATTTCTCTTTCTTCTATTTCTATTATTTGTCGTTTTTTCTATTAATATTATTATTATTGTTATTATGATGATTGTACTTCCTTATCAAACAAAAAGTCTGTTTTCATTCCAACTTATTTATTTATTTATTAATTTTTTTTCCCATTGATGAGTTCGCTCTTCACTCCTCTTGCCTTCTTTTCTTCCTTTTCATTGATCTCTTTTTTTAATTCTTCACCAAGGCGGGTCGGGGTGATAGGCGAGCGCTGGAAAAGGCGAGGAGAGATGGACGGATCAATTTGTGAATTTGATTTCTTTCTCCCTTTTTTTCCTTTCTTATTTATTTGATTTACTATTAACTTTTATATATATATATATTATTCTATACAGTCTCGTCTTCTAACTTGGATTTTAATTAGGGCTGGTTAAATTATTTTACTTTTATTGGGTTTTATTTTTATTTTCTATTTTTGCTCCAGTGTTTGAGAATGATTTTGAAAAGTCTTATTTCCATGATTATTATTATTATCATGTGGAAAAACATTGCCGAAAATTCAATTCTTCAAACTTTTGCATAAAATTTTTTTGTCAATGATGTATAGAAAAAAAAGGAGAGTCATTTGACGGTGTTCTTTGTCTTTTCAAGAATAAGATAAGATTTCATCAAAAATTGACGTAAACGAAAGAAAAAATTGGTTACAGGATTTTCATCATGAGCTGACATTGGTTAGGGAACTATTGGAAAACTAGCTGGGAGTACTGGACAGCCGGCTGTTTCGTCAGTCTAGTTTGGGACTCTTCATCAGTACGCATCCACCGCAAGAGTTCGAACCCAGGACCTCCTGGTTACAAGGCGAGCTAGCTCGTAGACCATTAAGCCACTGGGACCCGATCCAATGGCCAGTTCATGAATTCTAACTCCTGCCAGTTCACGATATAACGCAAGCTCTAGCCAATGTCTTTGGCGAGTATTTGTCCTCACACCTGACCTGCTGCACCCTACTGGTCACAACTTCCCACTGGAACCCCAGGTAACTACCTACCTGAATAGGGCCAGTCGTCATCGTCAGTGAGCATCTCATGGATATTCAAGTATTGGTTTGTAGGGTGAAAGACAGTTGTTTCCCCCTCTACCTTACCACTCTTTACCATACCCTTGAAATTCGGTTTATGGGCCAAACCTGTTCACCATTCAGCTACTGGAACGGAAATCGGCTGATCGACCCGTAGATATAAACTTCAGCTTATCTGCTCATGAAGTGTAGCACTCAAAAACAAGCCAATGTTATTGGTGAGTAAGTGTTTTCAAATCCAACCAGATGCGTACCACTGGTCAAACTGGCCTCACTAGAAATTCAGTCACTACTCCATTCTACAATCCATCACCAATCAACACTTGATGAAAATTTTCGAGAATGTTGGTTTTTAAGGATAAGAAGTGAGTCAGGTTAGAAAAAACCTTGAAAACCAAGGGGAACTGGACAGTTGTTTGTGTGTGTCTTGATATGATCGTGACCAATACATTGCACTGGGGATCTTATCAGTGAATGAACAATACTGTATTACTGTGCGTCGTTTGATCAAATCAAGTAATTCTTTGCTGGAATGATTACGAAATCCAAAATAGTAATTTATCAAACTTATGTAACCAAATTCTGTCCGGTTCCCAATTGTATCTTCTTCTTAAGAGTGAGGAGAGTCAGAGTTTGTATAACATTGTTGTTGACATTATGCAGACCAGTTCACTTTTTTCCCGGATCAATCGACTGACTTATACTAGCTTCAACACTGAAATCCCTGCCCTGTTGGCAAAGAAATCTAACGGACATTAAACAACACAGTTCCCTACAGAACAGATGTATACAACTTCACTTTTAACAATTCTAGTCTTCAGCAGGATTAGATAAACATTCAGTTTTCCTACACTTTGAATGAATTCAACGATAGCACTTCATAATAACAGAAATGGAGATTAATGTGATCAACATAGTTATTGGCTGTCTGTCTGTTTTCAGCATAGAACTTTGCACCAATGTGTGGCAGTTTAAGTCGCCACACTCCCTCCTTGCAGCACACAAAGCCAGAGAAGAAAGTAGAAGAAATGCTAAATAGAGACAGTAGACAGAGATATGAGACAAAAAGGAATAGTAATAACGAAGAACAATATAGTTTCATTGGAAATTATAAGTCAGAAGGAGTGGATGCATCTGTGCTAGCTATTGAGAACGATCACTTTGAGCCGTATCACCAACTGTCTCCAGCCTCCATTGGTGTTCACCGTCCAGAGGACCCCAAACAATTAGGAAGTCTACACCTCCCAACGTGGTTGGCTTAAACTAACTGTTGTGGATTTCATTGACTGATGAAGCCATGTTTTGGATTTGATCGCCACTAGCTCTTTTTCAACCTGACCCTATGTCAGCTAATATTTCCCGTCAGTCGAGGAAGGCGATGGGCTAGGCATGCGTAACACATGTCCTAACCATCTTAGTCGATGTAACTTCACAACCTCGTCTGACTGTGACTGAAACTTCAAATTTTCTATAGTTTTGGTTTGTAAGGGTTAGTTTTGTTTTTACGAGTTGATCACGGATTGATATCAGTTAGAGAACCATTGAAAACCAACCAGGGGGTACTAGACAGCCAGCTGTTTCATCCTATTTTGGTAATCATCGGCAGTACGCACCCGCCACAGGAGGTTCGAATCCAGGACCTTCCGGTTACAAGTCAAGCTAGTTCGTATACCATTCAGCCACTGGGACCCGATTCAATGGCTCATGAATTCTAACTTCTACCAATTCGTGATTTAGCGCGACCTATAATCAATGTCGTCAGTGGGACATCATCCAGTGGGTGCGTACTGCCGATAATTCCCAAAATATGCTGACGACCTGACTGTATCTTTGCCTGTCAAATGTCAAAGCGACTGCTCTAAACTTAATGGCTTTCTGTCAGAAATCAGCCAGTGGTCCAAGGAAAACGGTCTTACCCTAAACCCCTCCAAATGTCAAACAGTCAATTTCACCTTGAGGCATAAATCCGACCTAAACAAACTGGTTGGCTCTCACGAGATATGCAACATAGATGGCACTGAAATAGAAACCAAGTCGGAAATTAAATACCTAGGTGTCATTCTATCTGCTGATCTCTCCTGGTCGTCTCATATCTTGGCGATTTCTAAGAAAATATCCCATCCTACCTTCTACATCAAGAAGTTAAAACATTCTGGTATAACCCAACCCTTACTCCTACAATTCGTTAATTCTCGCATCCTGCCTATTATTCTCTATTGTTGCCCCTTAGTTTTTCCAGGGCTCCTGAAGAAAGACTATAACACATTACGCAGGATGTTAAAGGTTGTCAGTAGGGTAAGCAACGTGCCACTTAACCAGCTTGTTAATATTCTGGTCGACAGGCAGGAACTTGGACTCATGTGAGAAATGGGCCAAGTCCATTTTATCTAACTCACACCACCCTCTTCACTCACAACTCTCCCCTTGCATCTCATCAGGTAAAACCAGAAGCCTATATAGAAAACTATATGCTCGCACCAGCAAGTACAAAAACTCAACCATACTCTACTTGGCTCGTGTTCTGTGCGATAAAGAAAGCATTAGGCGTGACATCTATAATTCATTAAATAGTCAGTAGAACTACTGGACCTGGTCTTTCCAACTGATATGATTTATAGGTACAACATTTTCTTTCTTTCTTTTCCTATTCTCTCTCTCTCTTTTTCTTCCGTTATGTGCTGCTTTGTTGCTTTCTCCCGCTTACGCCTGTAAATATGACAGCTCCCACTTTTCTAACACCTTCAAACACTGTTCAACTTTGGTTTTGCTACCGACATGCCAATATGTTTGTTGTAATAATGAACTAAGATTTCCTTAATCTATGTAGAATTCTATTTTATTGATAATGTACTAACTGGATGCAATACTGTAGTAAAAATGCTGAGAATTCCATTCTGTATCACATGTACTGTTTTGGAATAAAACAAATTATTATTATTATTTTAAGAAAAAACAGCTGTCCAGTACTCCAATGCTGGTTTTCAACGGTTCTCTAACTGATATCAATCCGTGATCAACTCGTAAAAATGAAACTTCAAATCTTAGAGGACCTTTGTTCCACTGGGAACGCAAAATGAATGATAAAAAAAAAACAAATTCTAATGGTTATTAGTCGAAAACATTTTT